CCATTTTGAAAAATGGCGGACATTTTGAAAAATGGCGGCCATTTTAAGGTATGAGGTTCCATATCCATCCGCCAAAAGGTATGACCCCTATATAGTCCATTTAAAAACTTGTGGTTTTGTTCTAAATAACACCATAGCTGGCTTCTAGGGTACCTAGTATGCCACTATTTGGTATCAAAATAAAGAGGAGGAGTTCAACTTTCATTTGAATTACGAAAATAGTGATGTAGGTCAAAATAGTTCTGACGTGATCATGTTTACTACGCGTTTGGCCCGTCGTCTCAGAATTGAGGCAATGTTAGCAAACGCGAGTTACAATAAATGGACGCTGATATCTCAAAAAGTAACCTGACTCCCTATAATTTGATGTAGATCAATCGAATCCCTATATGAACAGGTACATTTTGATATATAACACTATGGGGGGTAAGCGTTTCATAGTTGATCACGAACGCCTAATGTGCCGGGTATTGTTCTGAATTTTCGAATTTGGTGTTGGATTACGGTACTCATACCTTAATTTATTTTACTATAACTCGAAAAGTAGTGGAGCGATTTTGTTCATATTCGGTATGTGAATACTGTAAGCATGGCACACTGTCTAATGACACTTTTTCGTAGAAGGCGGCCATTTTAACTTATTTTACTATAACTCGAAAAGTAGTGGAGCGATTTTGTTCATATTTGGTACGTGAATCCGTATAAGCATGGCACACTGTCTAATGAGACTTTTGGTAGAAGGCGGCCATTTTTCAAAATGGCCACCATTTTAACGTATTTTACTATAACTCGAAAAGTAGTAGAGCGATTTTGTTCATATTTGGTTTGTGAATATTATAAGCATGGCACACTGTCTAATGACACTTTTGGTAGAAGGTGTCCCTTTTGAAAATGTTCGATGGGATTCGCTACACTTTGGCGTTGCCGTTGTTCTGGTTATCCTAATTATATCCAGATTTTAAGAGCAAAATACCTCTGTACATTTACTGCAACAATTTAGAATCCTTGTTTGGGTATCGTTTTTTTTTAATCTTTATTATAACCATTTAATATACTTCCGGCTTTTTGGCTGAATTATGCCTGCCATTAACAGAGGTCAAAAATTACCCCAAAAAATAAAATCCCAATTTTTCACAATTTGGAGCACACAATACAACAGAAAATAATACAAAATGGTTTTAAATATATGATTTAGGTTTCTAAGCTATAAGTTTGAGGTTATTTTTCTTATCAATACCTACTTATATGTTCCCAATCATAAATTACCTAGAGTCCATTTCACTGTTTCATTTCGTCAGTAGAACAGCAAAAATAAGAAATTGGGAGACCATTGTGCAATAATATATGGAAAAGTATATTCATAATGTACATGAATGGCATTTGTATATTTCAGATTTTTTAGTTTTTTGTGCAATAAGCCTGTGCCGTCTTGTAATTTGAAGAATTTCAGCCATGTTAATCTTATTGAAAATAACATGGCAGAGAAGCATCCAAATATAAGAGGCCACACACTTTATAAGCCAAACTAGAAGCAATCCAAGATATACAAAAGTCATTCATGTACATTAGGAATATATTTTTCAAAATGATATTTTGATTTCTTATTTTTTAGCTTTTACTGACGAAATGAAACAGTGAAATGGACTCTAAATATTCCACACAATTTTGTTGAATTGGCTTGGCTCATATTTGAAAAATCTGAAAAACACACTTGTGTAATTACACTAAATAAACACCGACATCTACAGTAAAACTATAGTATATCTTTACATTATGACAATCTATTTTTGTTTGTATGCTTAGAATAATGGTCTGTGTCCTATAAAATGTATAAAAGTTCAAATCAAAATATTTACGTTTTTTGACCCCTTATGATGAAAGGCATTTTTCGACCCGAAAGCCGGAAGTTTTTTCGGCAAATGGTATTCTAAAAGAATCAAGACATATGCACCTTCATAAATATTGCTTCAAATGTTGCTGCACTATAGTGTGCTACGGATCCTTCATATTCGGAAGTCATACCATGGACTAAAAGTTAAGTAGCCAATACTGTAAAACAAGTTAAATTGCGAGCATGTTGAATTCAGGATCTGCAAATTTAAAATTGGACATCACAATTTTTTTCCTGTAATGTGGATGAAAAATTAAATATACTACTATACAGTATTTCTGAATGTGTTTTGTTTATTTAGTTATTGTATGCAATTATGAAACAAATGAAGTGCAAAGAAACTTACAAGTGTTAAAATACATTTGTTTATTTCAATACTGCATTTAAACAGGTTTTATTTCTTATCACAATCTAATGCAATTTGACCAGAGCTTGCTTCTGAGTCCTTACATTTGATTAAATATATGCACTACTGTATACCATACATTTAGGTTTCACATATATCATAGATTCGCAAAAATATAAATATAAAATATATTTTATCATAGAAATGTCTTATCAATTGATGTTTTAAACTTTTTGAGATAAATGCCTTCAGTAGAGTGGTAAAGAAAATACTCAAATCATATTCAAAGTATATCTTACAAACCTAAAAATATTAATAGTAAAATATTATTTTTACACAGAAACTAAAAAATATTGTAACTTACATTTTCGGATTTCCTCCACAAATTCTTAATTTTCTATATATTTCTTGAGATATAAATTTCTGAAGATTTATGTAAACTCGCCCCTTTAATAATTTAAACACTTTTGAGAAAATATGTGGTCTCATTTAAGGCCCATGCAAAATATAGTTTTACATTTTAGTCTATTATACCTTTCAGACAAGGCAAGGCTACATCTTTTTTTGGGGTTTGGCTTGATAAAGGTCTATTTATAATAGTGTGATTGAAAATCAAACTGGAAAGTGAGTATGTGGTCACCTATTACAGTTGAAAAGTTCAGCTCTTTACTCTACCAAGTCAGAATAGAAGACTCTTTGGTCTATTAGCAAATAGCAACATTTATCAGTTTGATATAGGTTATGGTGGCCTATTAAAGGGAGAAATTATGTTACCTGATTTTACCTGCGGTGTGCAATTAAGAATTGTATAAGATAGAATACAATAAAAATAATTTTTTAAATGTTTAATTTCTTTTTAATTTTTAGAATTTTTCGTTTAGTTTTACTAGCCTACTTGTTAATTATTAAAATAAAAAATCAACAAAGATAATGTGATATATTTGCTTCATACACTGTGACATTTATTCATTCATTATATCTCTTCCTCTGATTTAATGTGAATTTTTATTTTTTTTATTTATTTTTTATTAAGTTATTCATTTGTACAAAGAATACAATACAATAATATAGTGTAAGTGGCTGTGCTTTTAGCATTATTAGCCACTTTCTACAATTACAATATACAATGTATTCAATCAATACTATAGATTAAGATAAATGAGATACAAGAAGATAAAAGTTGTTTTGTGGAGGATTTCAGACATTTACACATCGCTCAAAGAAAATGGCACTGCACTTTAAAACAATCAGATTCTAGGCTCTACTTAATGCTGTTATCACCATGGAGGATCAGGGAAAGTTTGTCACGTTGTGTCTTATATTGACAGGAGTATTGTATATTCATATTTTTTAATTGGTTTTCTAATTCAGTCCAGAAGGTTAATCTCAAGTTACATCGAAAAATCACATACTGGTTGTTTCACTGTTAATACCACATGAGCAGATGGGCGAATTTACATTGGTAAAGTTATGCGAGTAAAGGTGAGCCTTGAAAATGAAATCACATCGTACTCTGTTTAATATAATTTCTTGGTTTCTTGAGATGGACAATTCTGATGAGTTGATAACAGTTTCGTTAAAAAGATTGCTTTTAAGGCTTGATTTAAATATGCTTAAGCTAGATGAATTCTTTATATCAGATGAGAGTTGATTCCATTCTGATATTGTTTTTGAAATGCAAGATCTTTCGTAAAATTTGGATTTAACTGGTAAAATATAGTCAAGTTGGTGTCTTAGTTCATGTGTTTGATTTCTTTTAAGTGGTTCAAAAATCTCAGTGACATAAGAAGGCAGCAAGCTGTTGTGAGCTCTATACATAAAAGTAGCTCTATGATATTGACGTCTATTTGAGAGTGTTAGCCAATTTAAATTGTGCAAAACGTTTGTGGCTGATGTTCCATGCATGGCACCTGAACAAATAAGTGCAGCTTTATAGTAAAGGCAGTCTAATAGTTGTAGTTTTGTCAAATTTGCACACCCATAAATAATGTCACAATAATCAAAGAGTGGCAAAATAAAAGACTTAAAAATTGTTTCAAGGTGTTTTCCACTTATTTTCTTACTGAAGACTTTTAACGGATTTATGAGTTTATCTATTCTTGCTGCAAGTTCAGTAATGTGATAGTCAAAAGTGAGATTTTTGTCCAAAATCAAGCCCAAATGCTTGTGATTGTTTAGTTTTGGTAACTTGTCATTACCAAGGGAAAGATCTGGGGTCAAAATTTCGCTCTTTCTTGGATTAAAAAAAGTCAAATCTTTACTCTTACTAGCCTTGAAGTTTAATTTCCATGTATTTGACCATAAGAGAATTTTGTTTAGATCCTCTTGTAATTCATTATTCTTTGCAGCTGCTGTTTCAGCTGTGAAGGATTGGTAAAGTGACGTGTCGTCTGCATATATAAAACATTTGGTACTTAAGTTATCAGGTAGATGATTGATATAAATAAGAAACAAGAGGGGACCTAAGATGGAGCCTTGAGGTACTCCTGCATTTATATTGTTCAACTCAGATACTTCAGACTCTTGGCCATCCAATACGACTTTAACTTGTCTGTTTAATAGGTAAGATTTCATTAATTCTATGATGTTATGACCAAAACCATACATTTTCAGTTTTTAAATAGTAGCCCATAGGGCATTGAATCAAAGGCGGCTGAAATGTCAAGATAAACCCCCCTTACATTGGCCCCATTTTCAATTTCATTAGATATAACATCAATTATACTTAGAAGCTGTGCCTGGGTGCTGTGACCTGGCAAAAAGCCACTTTGGAGGTTATGAAATAAATTGTTCACAATAAGATGGTCAAAAAGTCTTTTGAAGATTACGCGTTCTGCAACTTTAGAGATACAGCTCAGGAGAGTTATTGGTCTATAATTTTTCACATCTGTTTTGTCTTTACTTTTGTGAATTGCTACAATGTGGCCTAGTTTCCATGATTGGGGGTATTTATTAAGAATGAACATTTTGTTTAATAATTTTGATAATATTGGTGAAAGCGATGGTACTGCCATTTTAAGCATTGCTGCCATTTTACTTAACATATCAGGGCCAGTAGCTTTTTTGTGTCTAACCCAAGTAAAATGCTATAAACCTCTCTATCATTAGTAGAGAGTAGGGCAAAAGATTGATCAGTTCTTGGATTAAAAGTTTCATTTCCTTCTTGATAATTAGTATGATATTTGTCAATGAAATGAAACAGTAGCAAGTTGAAAAAAAGCATTTGTTCATAAAAGCATTTGGTAAATATCAGCCCTATCCAAGAATTTGACTTGACTACTAAATTAACCTCAAGAAAAAATATGATTTCTCAGAAAAATAAGTCATTTATCACGAACATGACCTGGATATGAAAGTGAATCATCAAATGCATGCCATTATGGAAGTCATCATAACCTAGACAGTAGCTTGGTAGATAACTAGTGTTCCATCATCAACATGCAATAGAAATAGTTTTAGTAATTCACTTTTTCATAATCACTGTTCCAGAAATCACTGGACAATTTCCAGACTCCATTCTTCTTGGTCCATTCTTCACAAGACCTGAAAGTACAATAGCATTAAATTATCGTATTGTTCAGTGTTCTCCACAGGATTTTTACTCAAGTGGGTGTAAAATTCTCATTTTCAAAATTCAGACCAAAATTTGTCAAAATATGTTCATTTTTCATGCTTTTTCTTCTTTTCAAAAGGGTGCAGATGGATTTTCAGGTGGGTGCAAGCTAGTGGTCGGACTCGCCTGAAAATCTTCACTCGAGTGGGCCATGAAAAACCACGATTATATTCGCGATTTGACTTAGTTGAGTTACTTCCGGTTTCAGTTTCCCAAGTAGCGGCAGAATTCATCAATTTGATCAAGTCTTTCAAGTGCCTCTATACTTTTTATTGTCTAAATCGTATTGCACATCCCTATAGATCGTTAAAGTTCACCCCTAGTCCCCTATAGATATTTTAGGCATTTTAAAATTCCCGGCTGTTGGAAATTCCCAGAATGCATCAAACCGGAAATGAAACTTTTGCATAAAAATAAGGAACGCAGAATAAAATCCAAGTATGTTTGTCTTCCGCACATGGCACTAAATAGAAAATAAGTTGTATTCTATACAGATTAAGCAGAACATTACAACTATAAGCATTGAAATTGCTAATAGGAGAGACATATCACGAGTCAAGGTAAGGTGAAAACGAGTAAAAAATATTTTTTTGGTAAAAATTTCAAATCCTGATTTCAAGTTCAACTCGATCAATTGATTTTTAGGACAAATGCGAGTAAAACTCGAGTACACGAGTCAGTCTTCCAACCACTAGTGCAAGCCTGTTTTTAAAATCTCAAGTGGGTGCTGCACCCACTTGCTTTATGCAGGGGAGATCACTGCATTTGCTCCCAATTGGCTTCCTTTTTCATCTCAAGCTAATCTAATCATGATACAGATTCCTGCCTTAGAATTTTCCTTAAACATTGCTCGAGAAAGTCTGAGACCTTAATATATTTGAGTCAGTTATTTGATTGTTTTTTTTCGTAATTAAGATGCCAAATTAAAGTTTTAATATTGAAAAAATTACCAAATTGACTAAATAAAAAACAAAAGGGCCATGAAATAAAAAAGAAGTCCTATAGATATCAACACTTAAAATATCAGAAATTTTCTATAATTTTCTTAGTAACTCACGAGAATCTGTCAACTTCTTTTCCATCAATTGTTCCTTGAATACTGCATATTGCAAAGTATGAGTCTTCTCCCAGACTTTTGACTTTTGCGATACTGCCGTGTACCTTAAAATTATTCGGGAACACTTGAAAAAATGTGCTGATATCTGCAATTAAAAAAGTTTGAGTGTTTGTATTTTGGATGCCAATTTAAAGTTCCATGGGCTTAGCCAGCTTTCAGTCAGAGGTGGCGTGCGATCAGCCCTAAATATTTCGGTTTTCAGTCAGGGGGATGCGATCGAGCCCCAAAAAATCTTGTTTTAAGATTTGTTTTGAATTTTACAAAAAATTAAATTTTGGTTGATTTAACAAATAGTATTCAAAATATTAAGATAAAAAGGCCAAAATAGATATAAAAAAATCTTTAACAAGATACTTAAGATACTTATATTAAATCAACCAAACTTTCCTTTGTACAATTACAATATTGAGAGAAAAATTGAAGAAAATTTCAAGATGACTGTCCCTGTCAGATTGCAAAATGGCAGAAAAGTCATACTTGTCTTCTACTTTCTGGTTATTTCTACCATGTATTGCCCAAAATGACTTGTGATTTTGTAAGATATGTTCTATTCAGTAGAATTTCTGCTGTTTTCTAGTTTAAAAGTGCAGTGTCCATTTTGACGATATGAATGTCACATGACTTGACAAATATTTTAGGTATAGGCATACTTGTGAGTCCAGTGATTGGTGGACTGCCTGGTGGGTATATCACTGCATCAGTGTTATATATGTCTTCAACTAGTTTCTCCAAACTTTTATTTGGCTCATTCCAAAGTCTGCCAAACTCATTACAATTAGCTATGGCTAGTTTCTTGAGAGCCTCAGCATCCATATTTGTCCTAAAATTGCAAAATCACTCTTTCTCTATATAATACGGATATAAAAGTGTAAAAATGCAGGGGTGGACTGGGAACCAACAAGGAGGGAGGCATATTTCACTTGGGCACGTAAAACCAAAGTAATACATCGTGATATTGTAGGTTTTCTGAATGAATTCACAATATTGATAAAATAATAAATAACATCATTATTTTATACTTCGGTTACACTCCACTGTTCATAGAAATGAGTTGTTACATCCAGTTTATGAACTAACTTAATAGTTAAGATTTAATATAGCAAAAATGACTGAAGAATATATTAATAACGCAATTGCGAGTAGGTAGTTACCAGATTCACCACCAGGTGGCTCGTTCGGGTCTGATAGCATGGCGGGTAATAGCAGAATGTACCCTTTAGCTTTAATTACATATATTTGCGTGGTTCAATTTTCATGTAACTGGTATGTATCTAATAGTTATGCAAATTAAAATATGTTCAGTAAAAGAAAATGTTATCTGTCCAATACAAGAAAAAATAATTCACTTTTTGTGATTTTGTAACATGGAGTCTATGGGGAATCAACCTGAACAAGAAGTCACATTTTCAAAAAAATTAAATTTTCAAAGTTGATAGACAATTTTCGAAACCATATTTTAAGATGTACTTTTACATGCAGATTTCGAATGTGATATCACTTTGACTGAATTTTGAATATTTGATGACGTAAATCAAGATTATTTCTACTCGCATCTAGTCTATTCAACCCAATTACCTGCAATGTTTTATTAATTAGCCTAATTAATCCAGATTAATAGAGCAAAATCTGCTACATCTATATCTACATCTATCCCTTTTTGCACCAATTTAGAACCGTTCATGTAGATACTCGTTCCCAAATTCGCGTGCAGATCAGATAACATTCAAAGTTGTTTGAGTAAAGAAAAATGATGTAGTGTGAGACTCACAATCATATATCAATATGTTAATTATACCTAGATCAAGGTGACCTGGTACTAATAATTGTAAATATTAGTTTTCATTCACTTGAAAGTCAGGATGGTATATATGTTGTCTAAATCTGAAAAATGTTTTTAGCCTGCATAAAATAGCTTTTACCAAAACTAGTTGCTATTTTCGCTAAAACTTATTTTGATCTGGAGCATATATATATCAACTTTTAACTTTGGGTACGTTAGGAATAAAATTAGCAGTATATATCAGATAATATTACTATTTTTGATCACTATTATCAAAATTGTTACTATTATGACTGAAAATATTTTGGTCTGGAGAAATGTTATTGACACATGCGTGTGATAAACATAAATGTTATTGTTAACAACTGACACTTATGTCACTCTAATGTGACCAATCATCAGATTTGGTTAAGATTTATGTGACAATGCCTTATTGACATACGACTCTGGTCAATAAGTTATACTGAATTCAGTACTCAGTATGGGACCCCTTTTTTCTTTTAAGAGCCTTAAGTTTTATGTTTGACACTTCTTGTTGGTATGTGTTCTTTCCCTGGTCTTGGGGTACCATAATGTAACTAAGATGTCACGATCTCAATTCCTTTATTATTCACAATAAGACTTCTAACAAGCATCTAATGCAAAGCATTGAATCTCCTAAATGCAACCCAAGGTCAGTAGATGTTAGCTAGAGATGTTGCCTCTTGAGTTACAGCTAGTAGACTGAAAAATCTATTTAAAAACACATAGTAATACGCTTTAACAAGCCCAACGTTTTTTTATGCACAATCTTGGAACCAACCCCTTGTTGGTTCCTTGATCCGCCCCTGCAAGAGTGCCCTGAGGCAACACATAGTGATATTGTAGGTTTTCTGAATAAATTTACAATTTTGATAAATGATAAATAACATCATCATTTTATATTTCGGTTACACTCCACTGTTCATATAGAAATGAGTGTCTCATGTTAAATGTAGCCTGTATGCATGTTTTCAAACTGAAAGAGACAAGATTACATCCAGTTTAAAACTAACTTTAATAGTTAAGATAAGTAACAATATAGCAAAAATGACTGAAGAACATATCAATTCAACCCAATTACCTGCGATGGTTTGATAATTATCCTAATTATATCCAGATTTTAAGAGCAAAATACATGTACCTGTGTACATTTACTGAAACAATTTAGAATCCTTCGTGTAGATCCTGTGATCTAGATACTCCCTTCCCAAATTCCCAGGCAGATCAGAGCACTCAAAGTTGTTTGAGTAAAGTTAAGCAGCCGATACAGTATGTCAATTATCCCATCGAACGAAGTTCGGAGGGAAATAGAGAACGCCTCCGTCCGTCCGTCCGTCCGTCCGTCCGGGCAATAACTCAAACCGTTGGCCTGGTTTTTTCATATTTTGTACACACATACCCTATGGGGGTAGAAGTTCTGCTTGAAAGCCAATTTTCAAAATGGCCACTCATTTCAAAATGGCTACCATTTTAATGCCGATTTTACAGTAATTTAGGTGCAATATGTAAAACTGTAATAGCAATATGTTTAAATGTAAAAAAATTATAAAGGATATTAATAATGCTACAAATGTAGATATTAAAGAAGCACATGGCAGCCATTTTGAAAAGTGGCGGCCTTTACTCGTCATTTTACAATTTTTGCTGTAACTCAAAAAATAGTGGAGCGATTTTGTTCACATTTGGTATGTGAATACTATAAGCATTGCACACTGTCTAAAGACACTTTTGGTAGAAGGTGGCCATTTTGAAAAATGGCCGCCATTTTAACGTATTTTACTATAACTCGAAAAGTAGTGGAGCGATTTTGTTCATATTTGATATGTGAATACTTTAAGCATGGCACATTGTCTAATAAAACTTTGGGGAGTAGTCGGCCATTTTGAAAAATGGCCACCATTTTGAAAAATGGCCACAATTTTTATGTGTGTTATTTTACAAGTAGGTGTGCAATTTTTCAAAAATTTTAGAGGTGGCTACTAAAAGCATATTATTTCTTCTGATGACAACTTGGCTAGTGAGCAACCATTTTGAAAATGGTGGCCTTTCTGGTGTGTTGTTTTATGATATTTGCTATTCGTTGTAAAAATGCCAGCCATTTCTGTTCAATGGGATTCGCTACGCTTTGGCGTTGCCGTTGTTCTGGTTATACTTAGATCAGGGTGACCTGGTACGAATAATTGTAAATAATTTTTCATTTACTTGAAAGGTACAGTGGTACAGATAAGGGACACAGTGTTTACTATTTTAGAACGAGTTCAACTAGTCTGTATGGAAATTTTGATGGATAATTCAGTAACAGGACTGGTGCTGGTATTTTGTTAAATATGCACCAATTAATCCTCCTCAAAATTTAACATAATGTACTTTCATATAGTATTACTGAAACTGCAAAGTTTCGACAAAAATTGTGAAACTCGGGTAGAGTTATGGTTGCTATAGTAACATGACATCACAATACCCGAGGCAACATTCCACGCAGAAAGTTCCAGAGACTTTAAGCATTTTGTACATCCCATATCAAAGTTAAAATCCAACAACAGGTGGAAATTACATTTGCTAAATACACCATTTGATAATCCTGTGTATCCTCCACTTTAAAAAGTTAACTCCTCTTTGATCAGGCCAAGAGTAAGCTCTCTGCATCCATGACTCGAACACATGAGTGAACCCATTTGAGGACATTCCACGCGGGGTCGATAGGACTTGGAGAAGGTCACTCTCATCTTTAACTGTCCTACCATGATGACTACGTAGCATTCTATTCTCCATATACGTGAAGGTTAGATACTGCATGATCAGAAGAGTATGTTGCATGGTCTTAGACCTCAAGACCTAGCTTCTCTATAACTGCATTGGTCTTTAATGCCGACTTGTGGACAGGCACACTTTATCAAGGTGGATGGCTGGCTTCAAATTTGGTCTTTTAAAAAACTCAACAGTGAATTGTGCAGACTGTTAAGCTTATACATAGTCATACTCCAGGAAATTGAATAAATATTATTATTCAGGAAGTATATCATACTTGAATCTGAGTTGTATAGCAACATCATAACTACAAAGCCAATGATAAAATAAACAAGAAATGTTGTATTGTATTAGTTGAATTAGATACTTTCTTCAGTAATACAAAAATGTTATATTATATTACATTTTCATGAAAACATTGTGATATCATGTAACCATAGTTAACCATAGCTCTACCTGCATTTTATCATTTTTTCTGCAACTTTACAATTTTAATTGCACTACTTCAAAGTACAATTTGTGAAAATCTGAACACACTCGGTGCAGAATTGACAAAATGCCAGCACTAGTCCTGTTACTTTTGGAACACCCTGTACTTTCGACAAAGTGCATGTTTTTAAATAACTCATGAAAAGATGGCACTTTTATTAAAAATGAACGAATCGATATCACGTGTGATTCAACTAAATTCGCCATGTTTCATTGTCATTGGTAAAAACTTGAAATGTAAAACTTGACAGATCAAAATTGCAAGCTCTGGCATGGCCAGTTTGAACTGTTTTTGGTGTCTAATGTAAGATAAAGTACTTTCATGTTTGTATCCACACTCTCATTGCTATATCAGGATTTGTCAACAGAAAGGAGCATTGCACATTTTGAGTGTTGAAATACAATACTTTGAGTGCAAAAGCAGGTCCTCTTTCAATATTCATCCATATTCTGAATGTTTAATCTTCAACATCTAACAAAGCATTCAATTTTTCAATGAAATAACGTGCACTCAATTCTGATAGGGGAGGGGGGTTGGAAGCAATGGTTCTGATTTGGCGTTAATTTTAAATCGGGTCTAGTTGAACAGACAGCAGGATACTTTGAAACAGTAGAATATTTTATTTTACCCTGCATCTCTTTAGATGTTGATAGAGTACTATAGCCCTTTAGAACTAGAGAAGATGTACATCATCTATTTAAAGGTGCAACAATGAGTGCAGAGCTATTGTTCGTTCAATGATCATGGAAAAGTGTCAAAATATATTTAAGTTTAGTTATTTCTTCTAGACTAACATATATTTTTATTATTTCCTGGATGAACATTATTTCATGATATTCCTCTTGAAACATGGTGAATCTTTAAAAGCTATAAGTAGGACTCCCTCCATAGAAGCTTTGAACTGAATTTACACTTCTTAATGCTGAAATTGGTAGTTAATATCCATACATTTTAAGAAAATAGGTATGTAGCCAAATGTTGCCCTGATAGCTCAGAAAAAGTAAAATATTTCAAATTTTCTCAATACAGACCTTGTTGCCCCTTTAAAGAAGATAATTAAAGAATGTTCTTGATTTTAAAGGCCAAGGTTATATATTCCATATACTGTACATGTACAACAAACAATATCATTTATCAGTATTGTAGCATTGTATGAAGTTTAGTTTTAGCCGCTTAGAGCTATTGTTAGTTTAATTTTCATATACAGAAGTTTTTAATAATCCACTCTCTCATAATCACTGTTAAAGAAATCATTGGATATTTTCCAGACTCCATTCTCCTTGATCCATTCTTCACAAGACCTGAAAGTACAATTATATCAGATTCATTGATATTTTTTTCTTAATTTGGCTTTTCATTTTTTTGTTAATTGGGTGGATTTAAAAAATCGTTGCCAAACTAAATGCAGATTTTCTGAGTGTTTTTCCTAATACAATTCTTGAGAGTTAATATAAAGTATAACTCAATCATATTTAAGACATCTTGAAAATGGCAGTGTAAACTCAGCATAATTTTTCTAAAACATTTTACCCAAGACAACACCCAAGAAAATACCTAAAAGTCAACACCCATATTGTATTAGGTAACTTACGTGAATATGTCAACTTGCTTTTCATCTATTGTTGCTGGAACACTGAATATTGCAAAGTATGAGTCTTCTCCTGTACTCTTGACCGTCCTAAGACTGTGGTGTAGCTTAAGATTATTTGGGAACACTTCTAGAAATGTGCTGATATCTGGAAATAAAATTGTAGTATTTGTATTTTAATGTCATAAATTCTTTATTCACTTATTATCTCACAAAACAAGGTTTGGTGGGGATACAGAAGCCATCCATATGCTTCATTCATCCATTTGTTCATTTGTATGTCCAGGCAATAACTCAAATACAAGTTGACAGTCCTGCAATTTGCGTGTTGTTACGCATTTGCTGAATAAATGGAAGTATTTTCATGCGAATTGAGTATATGTCACACATTTTATTTGAATATTTTGTCCCTCCCAGCCTATCGTCAGGCGCAATATTGGTCAATATTTGAGGTCCACTTTTGGTCTACTCATGAGGTGTACTTCTGGTCTACTTTTGGTTTTTCTCTGTGTTAAATCCCCATAGTCAGGCACATTTCAAATATTTAAATTAAGCCAAAAGTAGACCAGAAGTAGACCTCATTTAATGACCTCATCAGGTTTATCAGGTCTATATTTGAGGTCTAGACCTCATTTAAGCCTCAACTATCTGTAAATCAGGTCTATATTTGAGGTATACTTTTGGTCTACACCTTATTTGAGGTTCACTATTGGTTTTCAGGTCTACTTCTCTTCTGCTTTTGGTGTACACCTTACGTTAAGGCACATTTCAATTATGGAAATTAAGCCTTAAGGTCTACTTTTGGTCTAGACCTCATTTCAGGTACAAGCCTCATATACCTGTAAGTAAGGTCAGGTCATGTTTTGTTGTTCCAAAGTAGAAAAGTACTTAGTACATATCAGTACCCTCCATAGTTGTTAAATAAATTGCATTTATTTTGAATTGCTGTGTTGTTTTCTAGGATTAACTTGTCTCATGGATAAGATACAGATCTATGAACACATTAGAAAGATGAAGCAAAAATTACACAGTATTCTTATATAAATTATATGTAGGCTTCTAATATGATGTATTTTTGTTTCATCATTTAAATTTAACAATATTTCAATATTTTATTATTTTCAGACATCCTTCTTTAGGTTTCCCAGATTTTGATTATTTTTTAAAGTTCTGATAAAACCATTAATAGGGAGTTAAAAATACAGTTTACTGGTCTGTTAACCTAATATATTATAATCTGTCTCCTTCGTGATTCTGATGAAATACTACAGTAAGTGTGGCTTTTTCAGATTTATGTTTTCTCAGTTTTTAAAAAAAATTCTATGTTTATCAGGTCTAGATTTGGTCATTTTATAAATGTTTAAGTTTTTAAGGCACAGTTTTGGTCTATACGCCTGTCAGTGAGGTCTATTCTAAAATGTTCTTAGTTTATCAGGTCTAGATTTGGTCATTTTGAAAATTGTTCAAGTTTTTCAGGCGCACTTTTGGTCTATACGCCTTACAGTGAGGTCTATTCTAAAATCTTCTAAGTAAATGTGGTTTAGATTTGGTTTTTAAGGCGCAGTTTTGGTCTATACGCCTGAAAATAAGGTCTATAACTGGATTTATTGTGAGTAAATGAGGCTAGGTTTTGGTCTAAGCCTTAAAAATACCTGTAAAAGAGGCATACTTTTAGTCTAGACCTGAAAGTAAGGCGCATTTAAGGTTAACTTTTTGTCTATGCCTCAAAAACCTGATGATAGGCTGGGCTATTAGATTTTGCCAAAATGAGACAATACCACTATATTACTATGTGATGTCCAAAATGACTATAGAGTAGGAATTTGACAAAACATGTTGGTGGATTTTGCTGTTTTTCTAGTTTTAAAATGCAGTTTTTGTCATGATTTTTACAATAATGAATGTCACATGACATATTTTAGGTATACATATATGTATACATTTTTATCGGACATGTTGTATATATACATACGTTTTAATCCAGTGATCGGTGGACTGCCTGGTGGATAAAGTACTGCATCAGTGTTGTAGAAATCTTCAACAAATTTCTCCCAGTTTTTATTTGACTCATTCCAACCTCTGTTAAACTCATTACTATTCACTATGGCTAGTTTTTTAAGGGCCTCAGCATCCATGTTTGACCTAGAATTGCAAAATCACCTTTTCTCATTAATAATAGGAATAGAGAATTGTATATAGGGATGTGACTTTTATTTCGGTCGAACTTTGATATTTTGCAGAAAAAACACTTAATAACTAGGCCTACTAAGCTTTATAATATTTTTTTTTATTATTACGTTATTGTTATTTATTTCCAAATTATTCAACATAATTATTTACATAGATTGTGAGGGGCAGAGGCTATATAGCATTATTGGCCCCCCGAATCAATGTAAAATACAAGATCACATAAGTTAATCAGTATGATATTTTATGTGATATTATACAAACATTTAATTCTATTGAGGTGAATACCTGTGAATCTTTCACAAGTGATGTTCCAAGAAGACCGAAGGGAATATGCTGAAACATTTTGACAAGATAATGATTGGGGAACGTAAAAGAATATATATTTTATAAGTTTTGTGAAAATTTAGTATATCTGTGATGAAAACGTTGACTATTTTCTCAAATTTTGGTGCCTGCCGCAGTGTCTATTCCGAGACACTGCATGGGAGTTTGACTTGAAGCTAAGCATGCAGTGTTGACTTTTTTATTTATTATAAGAGTTAGAGTCCTTACATTTAATTTAGATATATGCACTACTGTACCATACATGCAGGTATATCATAGATTTGCAAAAATATAAAGTATATTTTATTATAGAAATGCTTTATCAATTGATGTTTTTAACTTTTTGAGATAAATGCCTTCAGTAAAGTGGTAAAGAAAATACTCAAATAATATCCAAAAGATATTTTACAAACCTAAAAAATATTGTAACTTACATTTTCGGATTTCCCCCTCAAATTTTTAATTTTCTATATATTTCTTGAGATAAATTTCTGAAGATTTATGTAAACTTGCCACTTTAATAACTTTTGAGAAAATATGTGGTCTCATTTAAGGCCCATGCAAAATATAGTTTAATATTTTAGTCTATTATACCTTTCAGACAAGGCAAGGTTACATCTTTTTTTTGGTTTGATTTGATAAAGGTCTATTTATAATAGTGTGATTGAAAATCAAACTAGAAAGTGAGTATGTGGTCACCTATTACAGTTGAAAAGTTCAGCTCTTCACTCTTCCAAGTCAGAGTAGATGACTATTTGGTCTGTTAGTAAATTGCAACATTTATCATTTTGATTAAGGTTAGTGGCCTATTAAAGGGGCAACAAGGACTGTAGAGAGAAAATTCGAAATTTTTTATTTCTTCTGAGCTATCAGGTCAATACTATAGTATATGCTTAACATCTTCTTTGACATACCTATTTTCTTAAAATGTTTGGATAAACTATCAATTTCAGCATTAAAAAGTGTAAATTCAGTTCAAAGCTTCTATAAAGGGAATCCCACTTATAGATTTTTAAAATTCACCATGTTTCAAAAGGAATATCAGCTGAAATAATGTTCATCCAGGGGGTTTCTTTGTAGATAATAAAAATATATGTTAGTCTTGATGAAATATCCAAACTTAAATATATTTTGACACTGGTCGATGATCGTTGCACTAATTGTTTCACCTTAAAGGGAGAAATTATGTTACCTGATTTTACCTGCAGTATGCAATAACTTAATAACTGTAAGATAGAATACAATAAAATGAAAAAGTTAATAATAACAGAATAAGGGGCAGATTTTTTGATTTTTTTAAATGTTTAATTTCTTTTTAATTTTCAGAATTTTTCATTAGTTTTACCAGCCTAATTGTAAATTATTCAAATAAAAAATTAACAAAGATGATGTGATATATTTGCTTCATACACTGTGACATTTATTCATTCATTATATCTCATCCTCTGATTTAATGTGAATTACTTAGTGAAATATTATCATTGATGTTATCTCGTTCCAGATCTGAAATGGAAACCATCAGATCATCCAGGGGTTAGGGAGAAAAGACAAAGTAGCTGGTGGGATGAAGAGACCACTATTGACCCTGAGGATTTCACACCTCAACAAATACATCTTTCCCTTGGAGATGATGCATCAGAAATGGTGAGTATCATGCTGTTGTCTCCCCCAGCATTTGAACAGCTAAATGGCGCCATGGGCATTCAATAGATTGAAAGCCCGTGATGACACACTCTGTTGAAACATCAAAATGACATGCTATTTGAAAATACCCGTTTTCATGTCACCACCAAAAAGTGGTGACATAGTTGTTATGGTCTTCGTTTTTTTTTTTTGACCGCGATCAGCAGTTGGCAATTGGCGGTTGACGTCTGTAACAAATGGTGATGATATTTTGCATGTTAGTACCTTTTTTTTTGTTGTCTCCCCCAGCATTTGAACAGCTAAATGGCGCCATGGGCATTCAATAGATTGAAAGCCCGTGATGACACACTCTGTTGAAACATCAAAATTACATGCTGTTTGAAAATACCCGTTTTCATGTCACCACCAAAAAGTGGTGACATAGTTGTTATGGTCTTCGTTTTTTTTTTTTGACCGCGATCAGCAGTTGGCAATTGGCGGTTGACGTCTGTAACAAATGGTGATGATATTTTGCATGTTAGTACCTTTTTTGAGCATCTTAACTTTTTATTTTTCCTTTTGGTATTTTTATAAAGTACAATGTTACAATATGCTTTGAAATAAGAATAGAAAATATCGATATGAATTTTTTGTACCTGTAGCGTTCAGCAAGAACTAGATCGTACAGAACTATCAAATAACAGGATTTACTTTTGAGGCATGCTGAATAAAGTAAATAAAAGGCATCTGGCATCATGATAAACCATGACATCTCAAATCTTCCCAGTCCTGAGATGTGTGTTTTTTCAGGTGAAACAGAAAGATGCTATGAGTATCAGAATGGGCATCTGGAGTAACATCATTTTCTCCAACTGAGAGGTCAAATTTACCCAGTAAAAGTCCACACCAGTAAATCTCAGTCCCAGGAAAACTCACCTGATATACTTTGTTGTTGTTGTATTTAATTGCATGCCTTTGTTTGTTGCAGGTGGTCATGTTTGCAACAGTTGCAGATGGATCTGATCCTCCAATAGTTAGATATGGCATATCCCCCAACAACTACAGCCTGGAAGCCCAAGGGGGGAGTGAGGAGTTCTATAATGGCAATAGCCGGGGTGTGCACAACCATCATAGAGTAAAACTACATGTAAGTATGTGGTATTTAATTGTATATGATACAGGGGTGACATTGAGAATAGTGAGGTATGGCATATCTCCCAACAACTACAGCCTGGAAGCCCAAGGCAGGAGTGAGGAGTTCTATAATGGCAATAGCCGGGGTGTGCACAACCATCATAGAGTAAAACTACATGTAAGTACATGTGGTATTTAATTGTATATGATACAGGGGTGACATTGAGAATAGTGAGGTATGGCATATCTCCCAACAACTACAGCCTGGAAGCCCAAGGCAGGAGTGAGGAGTTCTATAATGGCAATAGCCGGGGTGTGCACAACCATCATAGAGTAAAACTACATGTAAGTACATGTGGTATTTAATTGTATATGATACAGGGGTGAGATTGAGAATAGTTAGGTATGGCATATCCCCCAACAACTACAGCCCGGGAGCTCAAGGTGGGAGTGAGGAGTTCTATAATGGCAATAGCTGGGGTGTGCACAATCATCATTGTGTAAAACTGCGTGTAAGAATGAGGTATCTAATAACTCAGATGGGAGTAGGTAGTTACCAGTTTCACCACCAGGTGGTTCATTTGGGTCAGATAATCTGGCAGATATAGTTGAAAGCTTCCTTTAACCTAAATATTCATCAGTTTTAGCAGTTAGCATCTAGTCTTCTATTTTACAAGTATATGATACAGGTGTGGCAGTGAGCCAGAACCTAAATACAGATGAAGCAAAAAATATAATTGAAGAGCCACCGTTGAGCCTCACCTGCCTTATACCTATCTACATCCCCGTGGTATGCTATAGATTTAATGATTTAAAATGAAATTCAATACTCATGAAATTGTTTTTAGCTAAAGTTAATTTTCAATTCAATTCTTTCAAAATCATGCAGTTTTCACCATTCTGAGCATTTTTCAAGTGGTTTTGGACCAGAGTTGTCAAATATGAACCCCTTGAATTTTTGGAAAAGTGATTGCCCTTGGCAAAATCTGAATAGTATTATGTGCCTGACATGTACATTATAGTTCCTTTGTAGACTGTTCCCCTTGAGGGTTGAACATCTTGTAGCTCATGAAGTATTAAATTGAATTGATTTCAGGGCCTACAACCAGCCACAACATACTCCTATCAAGTTGAATACAATGGCCAGACTGGGGTACCTTATGATTTCACTACTATGCCAGAGGGCAAGGTCAGTTCTAAAGCTGGAAAATGTTATTTTGGATTCAGCCTTTTGTGTTATAACTACTGGATCAGGAGACATGGTCTTAGGATGAAAGCTTACATTTATTTTAAAATATCCATTTTTGGAACCCTCGTAATTATCCCAACGAACAAAGTTCTGTAGGGATATAGTGAAGCCCTCCGTCCGTCCGTCCATCAGTCAGTCAGTCCGTCCGTCTGTCCGGAAGATAACTCAAATATTAGTTGACCGATTTTCTTCATATTTGTTGGAAAGATGTATATTGATAAATAGTTTTACACAAAAAAAATTTTTTTCAAGATGGCCGCCACTTTAAAAATGACGGGACTTTTTCGCAAAAATCATAAATTTTTCATGCTAAACCAAAGTAATTAATATTATTGTTTGAAATTTTGGTAGTATATCATTATTCACAACATCTATCTATTTCACATACATTCCGTGTTTTTCATCCTGACCCCCAGGGGCCGTGTATGGGGGCGTCAGGAAAACAGAGATTTTTGCTAATTTTTAGATCTTTCTGAAGTATAGCTTTATTATACTCAAATGAAAGGCAATTAAGAGTAGATTGCAAATATTGTCTCTTTTTCTGATTCGAGCCTCGTAAAATTCAAAATGGCCATCTAATGTACGATTTCGCAATAATTTTTCGATCCCTTCAAAGTATGGCTATATTATACTCAAATTGAAGGAATTTTGGAGTAGATCACAATTATTGTATTATTTTTTCAGATTTGTACCTCAGAAAATTCAAAATGGCTGTTTTGCAGGAATTCGCAATTCTAAAATCTAAATTTTCCAATTTTAATCAAAGTAATGAGTATAATTGATTGGAATTCAGTAATTGATATTTTGTTCGTTGGGATTTGCTACTGCGCGGAGTTGCCGTTATCTAGTTTGGTTTCCAGTCATTGTTTTTTAAAATGTAGAAAATGGTTTTCTTGGAATTGTAAATAAGTATCATTCCAAAAACCAATTCCAGGTTAATACAGTGCCATGATGTCCCAAGAATAATTGATTACGATTTCTTCTATTGATCTTATTTATATCGTTAGATTTTTAAATAATTTAATCATCAAAATTCGCAATCAGAACTTATATGGAGGGTGTTAACTTTACTCTGAGATATTCCAAAGGAAGAACACAATAAATATTTGACACATATCAATTAAACAAGTTTGTTTTACAGGAATGGTCCCCTGAATTTGTGATATACGGGGATCTTGGTAGAAAAGGTGGCGCTCCTAGTATAAGAGCTTTAAAACAGGAAGCACACACAGGACGATATACTGCCTTCATTCATACTGGAGACTTTGCTTATAACTTCCATGATGAAGATGGCCAGGTAGGTGGTATACATAGTGATAATATTTAGTGATATAGTGAAACCTGTAAAGTGGAACACCTCTAGAAGTGGAACACCTCTGTCAGTAAGACCAATGAGTTAATTTTGAATGAAACTATAAGTGGAACACCTCCAAAAGTGGAACACTTTTTAGAGGTATCAAAGGTACACCTAGACAGGTTTTACTGTATTATCTACCTGATGTGAAACTCTTGGTCTACTTTTGAATCTTTTGCCATCTGTTGAATGACACAAGAAGCCATAAAGAAGAGTATTTAGAACCCTTCGTATTTGTTTGGCTTAGCTCCTTTGAAAAATGTTTCATCTTCACTTATTGAGATTAAGAAAATAGTATGAACTCTCCGAGCCAACTTATTGTGACAAGAAAGATGATTTTCTTAATATGGTAATTTCCACTGAAGCCATTGTTTTACTGAGTATTGAATTGATCATTAAAAATCAAAGTATTATTCTGAAATAATGTCAGAACTGGCTTTGTCTGGAATGAGGAGAGCAAAAAAAATTGTAAAATGCTTTGTTTGCCTGAAAATCATATTTTAAACAATATAAAAGTTATTGATTGCAATCTTGTTCATTTCCAGAGAGGTGACAATTTTATGCGCCGCATACAAGATATTGCAGCGAGAGTGCCATACATGACATGTCCAGGCAATCATGGTAAGTATGTGTACATGTCGAAGTAAATGTATATACTCAGCCTGTAAGGAAACTAATGTCAAACCTATATAATGATTAGAAACATCCCTCATTGATGATATTCTAAATAATGCCAAATATCTAAATTCTGATTCCAAAACAATCTTTAAAAAATATGTGTATAAAAAATATACAAGACACTGAAATACATGAAGCTCCAATTTAATGCTAAGAAACTTTCTAAAGTTTTGATTCATCCCCCTTTCTAACTGATTTGAAAAATACATGCATGTACATTGTATTGTTTCATATTTAATATGCAAGCCATGATGGCTTAAAGTATTCAGGAATTTCAGGAAATTTCAGGAAAAAATTGACCAAAATCTGACCCCATTGAGTTCAATACAAATCTGGATTTATTTCTAGGAGGAGTTGGGGGTCAAGCAAGGGTTTCAAAATTAAGTTCATATTTGTTATTTTTTTTCCTATGAAAATACTTTTTCCTCCAATTTGAAACTATTTGTAAAAGGTCTTCATTACTCAAAAAGTACTCAATCAAATCTCATTTTTCCAAAATTTCTTGGAGGGAGGACCCGCCAAAACCCACTGCTCGTTTGGCCCAAGTCTTTCGCCATTCAATTTTCAGGAAATTTGAAATTTGTTGCTTTAAGCCATGCAGTCATGTTACAGAATGGCAACGTGAAATATGTGAGGTGACACAATTGGTACAAGACTTAATTAACAATAGGTTAACTTTTTTCCAGAGATTTGGTATGACTTCAGCCATTATCGCTATAGATTCTCTGCGCCTCGCTCTGATTGGCCAATCCAAAAATGGCAGATGTGGTATAGCTTCGATGTTGCTAATATACACTTTATCAGGTAATGCTGTTATTAACTGGATAAGGATATTAAAGATCCAGCATTCTGATTGGTTAAGAGCCTGACTAATATCTTTCCCTTCCTTGTATCTTTTGGTGACCAGGATTTTAGCGATAATCAACTCCCTGTCATTCAGTATTAGTATAATATATCCTTGGTTTGATAAAAAAATAAATCGGCAATAAACTGCTTGGGCAAAATTCTAGCTAAAGTATTACTGTATATATGTTGGCAATACAAAACATGGTCAGATAGACTGATACTGACTAGATTGAAATTCCACTCAACACAAATCCACCATCATAAAAAGGCTCCAATTATGAAAAATCAGAAAATTCACCATATTCATCCACAAAGCAGTCTCATTTAGCTATCTCAAAAATAGATGTAAATGCAGATGTACTGTACATGTCAAGGTATCCATATAAAAGCTTTCTACTGTATTAAAGGAGTATGTAAGCCAGCTTTAACTGAATGCTTTGGAAGAGATGGTAAGATCAATATTTAAATGAATATGTCATCATTGTGTGTTTTGAAATTACTTCTTTTTTTAAATATAGATGTCATCATTGGCATTTGGATACAAATGTAAATACTGGTGTCAAGATGATTGGCTTGCAGGGTTCCAACTCAATATTTTGCCATATATGGAGTCATTTCGTGACAACAAAATTCAAAATCATACAGCCACCATTCAGTATTCAAATTGCGAGTTTTGGTCTAATTACCTAACAAAAACACTATAAATCAAGATATTATCACAATAGATCAAGATATAAGTTCAAATCTTTTGGATCGTTGAGTTATATTAAGGTATGGTCAGTTATAATGTCAGAAAGTAACGACATTTTCAAGTTTGTCATTGATATTGGTCGAGGTCACTAGAATATTGGCCATTTTTCTTACAGTCATTTGTGCAAACTTTGCCCTAGATAAGCACTGAACAAATTTTCTCGAGATAAAAAGTATCAAGTTGGGACCCTAGGAGCCAATCCTCCTTGAACTGGTATCTTGTTTACAGAAAAGGGTAATCTGCACTACATGTTAAATGTGTGAGACAAAGTCAATCATTCTTGAAAAGGGTAATCTGCACTACATGTTAGGAATCTGCACTACATGTTGAGAGTGTGAGACAAAACCAATTATTGAAAAGGGTAATCTGCACTGCATGTTAAGAGTGTGAAACAAAATCAATCATTCTTGAAAGGGTAATCTGCACTGCATGTTAAGAGTGTGAGACAAAATCAATCATTCTTGAAAGGGTAACCTGCACTACATGTTAAGAGTGTGGGACAAAGTCAATCATTCTTGAAAGGAGTTATTTGCACTACATGTTAAGCATCTGCACTACATGTTAAGAGTGTGAGACAAAGTCAATCATTCTTGAAAGGAGTTATTTGTACTACATGTTAGGAATTTGCACTATATGTTAAGAATCTGCACTACATGATAAGAGAGTGAGACAAAGTCAATCATTCTTGAAAGGAGTTATTTGCACTACATGTTAAGCATCTGCACTACATGTCATTAATTTCAGGTGAAGTCAATCATTATTGAAAGGGGTTAATTGCACTACATATTAAGAATCAGCACTACATGTTAAGAGTGTCGAGACAAAGTCAATCTTTCTTGAAAAGGGTAATCTGCACTAGCAGCACTACACTGTTCATGACATCATGATTTGAATGTGGTTCTCTAATCCTAGAATGTCTCGTGTTTTATTGATTGATTGTTTTAAATGGAAATGATTGTAACACATTGCAATTGCGTCAGTGATTGACATTGATAAACTAAACAAATTGAGAAATATGAAACCCGTAATGTTAAAAACGACAATATCAGTTTCAATAAAATACAAAGTGACTTTCTATTGCACTGGAAAGGTGAATGATGTGGTGGGTTTATATATAGCAATGGCACTGTTACACTCCCTTCAATAAATCTGGCAACTTTAAGTCCAATTTCGGATCACTTATTAAGCCGTGTATGTTTGGCGATTAGAAAATATTCATAAAATTTGTCATATACAGTAATTCTGAACTATAGTATTAATGAACACAATTGAAACATTAACAGTCTTTGATATGCTATCAAATGTTGCGAAACTTATGGAGGGGAGTGTACATAAACGGCATATACCTGAATAACTATCTCAGTGATCTAATTGAAAGAATACTTGTTATGTCTAGGTCTTCCTGACTTCCGGTAAAACTCATATTCTGATGGCAGTCAGTCCAAATATAGTACATGTATGTTAAAATCATATATGACTGAAATCATACAAAACATTTACAGTGTACTCTATGTCTTAAAATGTTATATATAGTTCAAAGCTGCTTCTGAAAACAATTTACATGTTTTACAAAAGACATTCATCACTTGCTTCTGCAAAGAACCCATAAAACTAAATCCAAATCTTGCTTTCACTTTAAATTCATCATAATACCTTTCAGTTACTCCAGTACTTTACTGATAACAAACCCTACTCGTCAACCTATGATCCATCTTTAACTGTGGATTGGGGAATTTTAACATATACAATATATATAATAATGCATAAACTAAACACCAAATATTTTTCAGTTAGTTTTCAGTTGAGGAGTATTTCACTGATTACAAACTCATCAGCTTAAATCCATCTTTTAAAGTGAAGAGAAGGAATTTGAAATATGTACATGTACATACTAAATACTTTTTGTCATTTACTCCAGTGGCGTGTATTTTACTGTGAAAAGTAGGTCCATCCATCTTTAACTGTGGAGTGGAGGAATTAAAACACTAAATACTTTTTTCAGTTACTCCAGTGAGGTGTATTTCACTGATGATGAACTCTATGCACCAGCACAGATCAAGTGGCTTGAGAAAGATCTTACAGAAGCAAACTCCCCCAGTAATCGTACGCAACGGCCCTGGATTATAGTCTTCGGACATCGCCCAATGTATTGCTCAAACCTTAATAGGGATGATTGTACCACACCTTTATCTAAAGTCAGAATAGGGTAGGTACCTTCCTTTGACTACCAATGGCAACATGTTTTGAAGCTTGGTAATGGACTTCAAATGTAACTTTTATGGTCATTTATCCAAGTTTCATTCAGTGAGCTATGTTAGACGGGTTATCTACTTTTACAACAAAAATGTGTTGATTTTCTATGTCACCACCAAAAACTGGTGACATATCGTTATGGTTGGTGTCTGTAACAAATGGTGGTGACATTTTGCACTTATAATGCCTTGTATAACATTCTGATGGGATAAAAACTAAATCATGAATCAGGTTTGAAGAGTAGAGTCAAGCAGCTTTAAAAGGGTAGGTGTGCAATGATTCAATTAATCAATTGGATCCACAAGGCTCTTATTTTGACTATTAAATTGATATTGTCAATACATTCAAATATTTCATGATTATACTAATTTCCAACTTGATGTGGGATTGATTTCAGCTAAAAAATGGACACATGATTTTAAACCAGATTTTGTTCAATTTTTATTGCCATGAAAATATTCTATATTCTAGACCCTTTGTGCCACGTGTTAAGACTTACAGCCCTTTGAAATCCCACATCATTTAATTATCCCATCAAATTAAAATCCAATCAATTATAAGATTAATTATATTACACAATTCAATATGAATTTATCTAAATGTTTCAAATTATGAAGTCTTTGAAGCTGAATTTATCAGCAACTCAGTTGTTTTATTACTTTTATTCTTTCTATCTATATTGACTTTTTCTTTAATATTTGATTTATGACCCATAGATATTTTCAGTATCATGTCCTTAAGTTCTTTAATCAAGATTTATGATTTTACATGGTTAATAAGTACAGATTTTCAGAGTTTATATAATTAAAATGCTTTCTGTCATGGTAATAAGTTAGCACAGATGCAAACCAGGTGGTTTGATGAAGTATTACAATCATTAGCACTACAATGTAACCATACATACCTAGATGCTAAGATTGCTGTAAGCTGTGTCACTTAGGGACTTGGACTTTCATTCGAGAGCCTATGTTAGGGACATGGGCATTTATTAAGAGTTGAATGTTAGGGACAACAAATGAAATCCTGTGCTGTGATTAATGAAAACACAGCACAGGTTGGTGATCTTGAATTAAACTAGGATGTTTCCCACACCACCTCCATTCATTCAGACATTTGCAACAGTTATTATCATACCATTCAGCTCAGGTACAATAAAACACATTTTTCAAATTGACTCTCATCAAGATCAACTGACTGCAATAGGATATTACAGATGTGGCTTACTTACATGTAACCATGGCATCAAATGGCCCCAACCTTAACCTAGAACCAACCAGCTGTACTGAACTGTAAAAAAGTAGTTAGATTGCAGGATAGCTGACTTTTATGCATTGTCTCTGAGCACAAGGATCGATAATTAAATTGATTGACTTCACTGTTTTTCAAGAGTATGTTTTCATTCATTAATTGAATATCATCATGGGTATTCTATTGAAAGCCCATGATATCATTTACTCCTTATCATTGAATCTGTTATTATAGCCTTTCCTCTAGCATATTTTTAATTTTTTTAATTCATGATTTATTCCCATAGAAAATATAAATTTAACATACACATGTTGTTGCTTTGCAATACCACATTATAAGGCATAATTAAGTAATGAAATTTGGAAAATAAAGGTTGACACTGAGTTTAATATTTGAGCCAGGCCACAGGAAAAGGTGTCTTATCACAGATTTTTTCAATGTTTTGATTTTTTGTTTTTCTTAAAATGCACAAAGAGACCTTTCAGATGAGCCATGGCTTGTATCTTAACAATTTTTCCTTGCAGATATAGACCAAAAAGACGAATTTGTATTTAGCACATTTTCCTCTTAATCTTGGGCACATTTTTGGCTCTGTAGCACAATTTAAATTTTTGTGATAAGACTGGTTTTCCTATGGTGAGGCTCATTTAATGTTTTTTATATTTAATGAGTGTCATGTTTATCGTATTTCCAGGCTTGAAGATACATTTTACAAATATGGTGTTGATTTGATCATCGAGGCCCATGAACATTCCTATGAAAGACTCTATCCTGTCTTCCATGGACAAGTAACTAACTGTGATTATAAAAACCCTAGAGCCCCAGCTCACATTATAGGGGGAGCTGCTGGCTGCAATGAACAGTTTGGGCTCTGTGCTGACGTCGTCCTATCCCCTAGAGGTAGGTCATGTATTACCAAAGTGACACCTATATCTAAAAATAAAAATCTTGTCTGAATTGAAATCAAGTGTAAAATTAACGGTACATGATATTTATGTATATTTCTATAAACTTGAGCATCAAGAATCAAGGATTTCCCCTTGAGAAAAAATCTTTCAAAATCATGCAGTTTTTCAACATTCTCACTTTTTAAGTGATTTTGGCCATTTTTAGGCCAAAGTTGTCAAAATTGAACCCCCTGGAAAATTTTGTAAAGTGAACCCCTTGGCAAAAGCTGGCTATGGGCCTGTATTTTTAACATTGTATTATGTGTGTTGAACATCATATTTTTGACACAAATTATGATGTATCTTTCTTGTTATTTAATAATTTAAAGAATGAATAATTTCATATTTTTGTGATTTCAGGTCCTTGGTCTGCTTTCAGATCATGGCTACCAGGTTTAAATGGATATGGACGACTGAAAGTCTTCAATAATACGCATCTTTATTATGAACAAATGCTAGCAATGACTGGACAGGTTATGGACAGATTCTGGCTGGTTCAGACCAATCATGGCCCATACAATGAAACCTTTAATCCTGATACAGAACATTGTTCCTCAAATTAGCTGATGACCAGATTTGTCTGGTTTGAACCAGATTTAACCAGTTTCAACCTGTACAGTGGAATAGTTGACCTTGATATAGAACAATGAGTACTTAAAACAAGTTCTAGTCAGTGAGAAAAGAAGCTTTATATTGAATATTGCACCTCCAAGGCCGGATTGCTGGTTTAAATCAAATTTCATTGTGAACAAGGAAACTTTTATCTAGATAGAACATGGTAGCTCACTTTATTGGACTGAAGATTGCCATATATGAACCTGGGGGAGAACAATGCATTATCTGATTCTTCCTAGTTTTATCTGATTTATTATGACCCACCACCCCAAGTGGTGACATATTTTTATAGTCTCCAACTTTTTTGTGGCGGCAGTTGGTGTTGGGTTGTTGGTGTTAGGCTGTTGGTGTTCGGCATCTGTAGCATATGGCAAGTGGTGACATTTTGCATGTTAATGCCTGGTTTAAACTAGTCATGGCTGATAAATTGAAACTCTTTCTCTGTGCTTATCTGTGATTATATAATTTGGTCCTGTTGATAGAACATTGAATCTCAAGACAAATGTAATAATAGGCCTAGTACAATCTTATAAATCAACCATGAATGTTAGAATGATTCATTTTGAACCAGTCTTCAATAGTAAAACTGTTTGGTCTATATTCACCTTTCCCCAAAGTCAGCTCATGAATATTATAATATAATTAGCAAACCTGAAATCTTTGACGTCAGAGTAGGGCAGATTTTCGCGGGAAAATCTTAACACATTAGAAGCCAATGTGAAACGTGATGGAAACTGGTTATTAATTTTATTGTCAAATTATGTTTAGTTGTAATGATATTTATGATAAATGTCATGGAATTTAATAATTATACTCACGTCTATATTCCCCCTTCTTTATATTGTTCTGGGGAATCAAATGAATAGAGAAATATGGATGTGAAGAGTCCAATGTTTCCTTTAACTTTTCAAATTACGCCGACTGTACAAAACCCCATGTTTGACGTCATTGATTTTCATCAACCAATCAGCGCAGCGGTTGAGTACATTTTGGTCTTGGACTTTGGGGAAAGTCGAATATGGAGAATATTTTGAAAAATTGCATCATTTTGAAAGAACTTTTGGCTGGGGGGAGGGGGTTGAACCCCATGAACTCCCCTGGCTACGCTCCTGTCTAGTCAATCTTAAAAATCAACCATGCATGTTCAGATGTTAGAATTGATTCATTTTGAACCAGCCTTCAAAGGTAAAACAGTTTGATCTATATAAGGAGAATATTTTGAAAAACTGCATGCTTTTGAAAGAACTTTTGAAAAAAATCCTTCAAAATCATGCAGTTTTTTACCATTCTGATCACTTTTAAATGATTTTTGCCATTTTTGGACCAACATTGTCACAAGTGAACCCCCCTGGAATTTTTCAAAAAGTGAACCCCCTCGGCAAATCCTGGCTATGGGCCTGCCAATGCAAATAACGTATATGTCCATTGGAAAACAAGACGTGATATTTGATTATCAGAAAAAGAAGCTAAGTTGACACACATCTAACAATCATGATTGGATAGATAGAATTTACATGTTTAATTATTATAATAAATATGTGAGGTTTTCATGTAAAAGCTGCATTGTATATACCCCGTGGGATACTGTGTACCGCGGGGATATTGTATATTGAATCATGTATACCGTATATATACCCGGGGGATATACATCTGTATTGGTAACGTGAAAGGGTACAAATAATTTGAGAAGGTTGAGTCAAAAAAAAATGTGTAAGTAATTTATATACTGTACTGTTAGTAAAACTAAGTAAATGTGATGAAATAAATTCTGGTCAGGTACTTAATTGATAGTTTAGATGTCTTTTGAAATTTATCTTATAGCCTATAGGTACATGTATATGCATTCTAAAGCATATGTAAGATAACACTTGTTAAAAGTAAAAAGACTTCAAAATGTGAACAATTTTTGCACGTCCATTATTTTATGATACGTCCATTTATTTTATGATATCCCATTATGTATTCCATTTATACTAAACATCTCTTACACAGTGGTGCATGTATATTACCCCAACCCTATGAGCAACAATAATTCTGAAACCATTACCATCCCATGCCCACATCAGTGTCACAATATAGGGTAGCGATTTTTGGGGTTTTATTTTGTGCTAGCCTACTTTTTGACTTGGACGAATTGTATGATATTTTGAACTACTGTATCTTTCTCTTACACTAAATTGAAATTGAAATTGAATGGTATATTACTTTTTCTTAATTTTCCAGAAAATGTCCAACCTAGTCATATTGATACCCATGATACATGTATTTTCATTTTTATGAGTGGCCTATTTACATGAGTTTATGAAGCTGGAAATCGTGAAACTTCACAAACTCAATTCTTGTAGATAGTGGATACGTATTAGCATGTCATCTTCATCTTCATCGTCATCTTCCCCTGTTTGTGTTATATAAAGCATTCAATGAGCGAATGTCAATTTAAACTTGGATGTCTACTTCATTATCGGTATTTCCATTTAGGTGCTATTTATTTGTTAGAAAACTGAATTATGAATGGCATTTAGTTTGACTGATAATGATGTACAGTACTAGGTCATTCATATTTGTATAAGATAGTTGTTAATGATAAACAGTAAATAGCGTACTTATACGTATGAGATCATTCCCCTACATGTAGTTTGAATATAATGGGATTTGCCTTTACTTTGGGCTATCTAGAGAGAAAACACGTCTTCCAGTAGACAATAGCCTATAGCATTCTGATGTTTTGAAAATGATAAACTTCCAAAATATATAGATAGCCAAAAATATTGGTGATTCGTGACCAAGTTTTGGGATATATCTATTGTTAACAGTTAAGAGTTGATGAAACATTCCCAACCACTCTGTTCTTAATCTAGCGAAAATAAATCATTTGTGCCAAGGATCAAATTTGAGGTTATTTTGGGAATTTTTGTCATGAGGACTTCAGAGGGATATAGCTGAGCAAAATAGAGCCTCTAATTGCGTTCCTTAGTGATTTTAAATTACCTCTTCTGCACTAAGGTTGCGATACACCATTGGAAAGCTAAGAGTATCAGCTTGAGGATCGAATCTAACCTCCATTTGAATTTTCACTGAATGTAAAATTAGATATTATCCCTTTCATCACCAAGGGGTAAATCTAATTTTGCATTCACTAAAGATTAGAATGGCTGACCCTTTCAGCTTTCCAACGGTGTATTGGAACCTTAGTGCAGAAGTGGTCATTATATCACCCTAGTTTGTACTACTAATAGGTCAGCCTTTCATGGTACCTTGTCCACATCAGACGCGAGATAAGACGCGATGAAATAATTTTGATGAAAATCATTGGGAAAATATATTTTATACCATTGTTTTTCTTATTCATGAAATAAATCTTATTTGGAGAAAACAAGTAAGCAACATTTTAGCTTATTACTAACATTTTGGGGAAATTATTAAACATGCAAAAAATAAACGGCGAATCTATCTTCCGAACCCCCAGAATGTTATCCCAGTAACCCCAAAAACCGGGTCCGACGAACTTGACACTCTCAAGTAGCAAACTGAAAATCGAATACTTATGAACTATCTAAGCATTAATTGACACTTTAAAATATTTCAAATGTCAGACGTTGAGAATATACTAATTGTAGCGTATTCATTATCTTTACATCTAATCCAATGAATGCATTTTTGAAAGTAAAACGAGATCTTAATGAGGATAAGAGTCACACAGCTGTAATTTTATTTCCCGACTGTTTTGATGTTTAATTACTTTTTAATATATGCATCTTAATTAAAGTATATCAATTTAGACCTTGAGCTTCCTTTTTAAATTAAAAAATTAAAATTCATATTTTTTACTTATATATTAATCCATTTTATTCTTACCTTTTTAACTTCTTCTTTTTAACTAATTTATTTGACATATAACAGTCGCTTTAGAGGGAGCTCAAAATTACTTTTTGAAAATATCCCAGAATCAAGCAAATTCAATTGATGTAGAAAATACCATTTACAAGGATTAGGGGGAGTAAAATGAACTGGTTGGTATTTGCGTTCTGCCTGGGCGCTTTCTCCCTGGTAGATCAAGGAGCTACGGCTCCCCTTGAGGAAGCTGAGTATAAAGTGGATGCATCCGAGGCTGGTGAGTAGTTTAGTCTATTTTTATTGTACTGGTGACTTATCTATTCTATTTTATTGTACTGGTGACTTATTTATTCTATATTATTGTACTGGTGACTTATTACTCTATTTTAATTTACTTTTTGAAAGAAACAACCTTTGACATTACTCTATTTTTGCTGACACAATGTGTATGCAATACATTTAGGCCCTTTCTAAGAAATAACCTCAAAAACAGCACATTTTAGAAAAATCAATTTATGTGGTTATAGCCCAATGACTCGTTGGAAGAGCAGAAAACAGATTCAGTGTTTTGAATCTTCATATTACAATGCCAAAGCTCAAATTGGCGTTATTGTATATGTCAATGGTCATGAACTATAATTATTTTCTATTATTTTGAATTATCATAATTAATATAAATTTATTTATTCAGTATAATAGACGCTTTACATGGATGGTATATCTGTATATGGATCGAACAGGGGCGTAGTCAGAGTCAAAGGGGTTGCAATTGTGACATAACTTAAACGAGCCAAAAAATTGAATTTTACAAAGATTGATGCAACTTCCTTCGAAATTGAGCTAGAAGTTTCAAATAAAGAACATTTTAAAGCTCTTTTCTACGTCTATTTAATGGTTATCTATGTTATTTATTTTCAAAAGTAATGGGGATGCACCTCCATCCCATGACTTCGCCTATGTCACATAACTATTGATTTATTATTTTGAACATACTTGATTTCCTGTCAGATCAAATATGGAAGCAGAAGATTTGAGATCCAGAAAGGGCAGATACCTTGAAATTATCATGAAAAACTAGAAATCTTTAACTACAACAAAAAGAGAATGAATGATGGCAATAAAACATGTTTTAAAATTGCAATCTTTTTCGAAGCCTACTCTCAACTAATCTCAAGTCTTAATGTTAATCCCATTAACGTTCAAGGTTGACATACATGTAATATTTGGATCGATATATACACTTACAACGTCATGGTACAGGGTGACATAAAAATGACACCCACCTTAATACGTCGCATAACTTGTTTGTCTATTAACATATAGACTTGTCCTTTGGCACATTTAAAGTAGACATAATACGAAAGCACCTCAAGAAACTTCAGATGTGTAGCTCAAATTTTATGAGCGTTTCAAATTTGCTCTAAATGTCGTCCATTCCTTTGCAGACATATATGGATTCTACACAAAGTGTCACCCAGCTTTTGTAACAACTTTGTAAATACTAATGATTTCGGCTTGTACTTCCAGGGAAATGAAGTCCATTCAATTAAACACAAAATAATTTTGTTGTCATTGATAAAATCATTATAACTGATTTCCAAAATTATGTTACAAAAGGTGGGTGTCATTTTTTGTGTAAGATCCAGCTGTGCCAGCAAAGGAATAGAAGACACATTTTGTAACGCTCATAAATGTGCATCTAAGTGAGCTAGTCATCTGAAACTTCTTGGGGAGTTGCAAAATGGAGTGTAGTTTAAATGTGCGAAAAAGAACAGTTGAAAAAAGTCATAAAATATTATGTGGGTGGGTGTCATATTTTTGTGTCACGCGGTATATATATCATATGAAATATGCAATATATGCTTCAGATTGTAAAAACTCAAGGGGGTTTACAATGATATCCGACGACCCCAACCATCTTGAAATACTTTGTATGTATGTCGTGTGTGACCCGACAAATCCAGACGTAAGACGAAGAAAGGTAAGGTCAGATCAAGAGGAGATTTTATAGGCCTATCTGCTATGATTTACTACATAGATATATTAAAATTGAATTGAATTGGAACATTCTACAGCATCACACCGGAATAGCCCGACAACGGTAAAGTCAGATACCGTGGTCACAAATGGCGGACATAACCGTTTAATACAGCACCTAGACTAAATTCCTTTGGAACAACAATCAATCAAAGTGTCTTTTTACTCATTGTGCAGTTACTATAATAAAGTCTCAAATTCAAATTCATTTTCCGTTGTCATTGACGATATCGAAGACGCTATATTGTGGCGATTCACGACCCGATTTGATCTAAATTGGGATTTCATATGATGCATCATCACAAAAGCTTAATATATGCACAAAATTAGAGACGATAAAATCCCATGAAATGAGGACCAAGTGATTAAAGAGTTGAAGCGACGGTTATGTCCGCCATTTGTGACAACGGTATCTGACTTTAACGTAACGTTGTCAGGCTATTCCGGTGTGAGCATGCATCCGTGTCAACATATTTCTTTTTTCTTTTACTCGTCAAACTTATATTCGCGAATGCAACAAGCGGCTACCAGATTAACCAGTATTTTATGACCAATTCATTTAAATATGAATGGAATTGTGACAGGAACTATTTATATTTAAACGAGTTGCACATAAAATAGTAGTTTAATTCGGAAGCCGACAGCTGAGAGTTGCATTCGCGAATACAAGCTAAGAGAGGGTCTAGTATGTTAGTATTTATGCTCGTTACAATGATTTCCAATCTTCCCGACGTAACCAGTGGATTCCCATATGCCTTGTACACGCATAACCATCGACAACGTTCAGTGACAAAATATATGGCTGTACACTTCAGCTGTACGTTGTCATGTTTGAAGCAAAAATGGTGATGTGATGAGGTTTTAATAGATTTATCTAAGGAATATGATGGAGTATTTCATGTTTAATTTCATGTGCATGCTTCTAGCAAGACTTAACTTTCTAATTACGTTGAAAGATCCTCGAGCAGTGAATCTTTTTTTAGGTGTTTCCACCCACATAATTGACCGGTTGGAAAATGTTGGTTATATTCACATGGACGTGGGTGGAATTACCAAGACAAAACTCGTGCTCTGCTTAAAAATCTGTTAACGTGATTAGAAAGTTAAAAGTCTTGCCAAGAGAATGCGCATGGAATTAAACATGAAATACTTCATCATATTCTTTAAAGGAATCTTTTAAAACCTAAATCACCATTTTTGTTTCAAACAGCTTAAGTGTACACCCGTATATTTTGTCACTGTACGTTGTCGATGGTTGGGCGTGCTGTAACGTATGTTTTTTCGAAAATCAAAACTCCCATAAAAAGAAGACGTTAACATTTTTGTTCTCATGAAATATTTGTAAACATGCGTACATGTTTGAGAATGTTTTGGCGCTAACCATAATTTTCAAAAGAACTCCTATTCGTACTATTGAAATGGATTCTACCAATAATCTCTCATACGAATCTACTTGTTGGGACTCGATCAACTTGAATTCTTCTGAGATAATGAGGAGTTTGTGTATGAAGACATTATGACATGCAGCCTTTAAGTAAAATGTCTATATCCCCGGGCCCATGAAGCCAATACACTCTTGCTGTAAGCCTCATTTTCTCAGAAGAAATTAAGTTGATCGAATCTCAACAAGTTGATTCACGTGAGACAGGATTGCTAGAATCCATTTTCAATAGTAAGAATGGGTTCTTAAACAGGACATTGGGCTTGCTTTTTAGAACTTTTTGTTGGCTCTATTTTTTGTTATATGCACGTGTACGCAAAAGTAAGACATTGATTTTTAGTTTACCGGTGGATGCAAAATAGGCGAACAGATAAACATTCGTAAACTGAATAGAACGGATTCACCTACAGTGTATTACCCAGGGAAATGTGCGAAGCTCAAACTACATCCAATCGATTGTATGACTTATATGCGCGCGCAGATCTGTGAAGATGTTGCAAACGTAAGATGCAGGCCATTAAGTAAGTCAAATAAAGGATCGCGTCATACTTTTCAGAAAATCTAATTTTGTACTCGAAAAGTAGATACCCATGCTAATATGAGCAATACATTATTTGAAAATGTGTACAGCAAGCCAAATACTGACCTCAACAATCCAGCGTCTCAATTAATTTTGTCCTGCACTGCAGCTTGGTGGGCCCACATCTACCCGAAAGATTTTGCTTGAAGTGGTCAGTTTTAAACAAAGTTATCAACATGATCGGGGTATCAAGAGTCTATTTAGTATCAGCATTTTAGACCTTCAATGTCAAAATTGACTATGAGCCGATGTTATTGTCCCGGGGGCCATTATCAAAAACTTTTTAAGTTAAGAATTCGTTATAAATTCATTGTTCTCCAACTGTGATGTCATTATGTACACATGGTTGCAGCAATTGATTTACAAAGTCGTAACTTTACTGAGTTTCTGTTAATGACCCCCAGTGTATTCTAAAAGAATAAGCTGAGTAACTGGTTGTGGTCAGGAGTTTTATGGTGCACCCTCATCAGGAGTGCCATGTAGATGATCGTTTTCATTTTAAGTTGAGTTAAGCATCATAATAGAAGTTTGACCACTGACCAGTATCCCAAAGCAATGAATTTTGATCGGGTTTAAGAATAGAGTGTTTGGTTGTACCATCATCAGCATCATTAATATCGCAGTATTTTATAATATTTCGTATTACTTTAGATGGCGGATGGGGCTCATATCGACCCATCGGTGCGTGTTCCGAACCATGCGGCGGAGGAATAACACAAACGATCAAATACTGTGATAACCCTACACCGGAACATGGTGGATTGATGTGCATAGGGAGCGATGGAAAAAGAAAGATGAATGAGACCTCTACTGGTACATGCAACCGGCATGAATGTTCAAGTGAGTATATCCCTGGTTTCTGAAATCGAATGTGTCAAATAAAGAAGCCATAATCTAAAATATGCGAGCTAAATAAACGGCCGATCCACAGCTCGGTAAATTGGAATGCAGTTTTCAGTTTCAATTTAAACTTAATTCATGTTTGTAAAAGATTGGCGAAGCAGAAACCTCACTTGCTGGATGTCTGTCTTTGCCCTTGTATCTGTACTATTTGGAATTCGGAAACCAGTTTTAAAACTTTCACAATAACAAAACTATGATAATTACAAAAAGTATTATTCATCTAAAGTATGCAAATTGATTGTTCTAAGATATTAAATAAAGATATATTCGAGAAATTGCAGAATATGCTATTGTACCTGTAATCTTTAAAATCACTGGGTCATGATGAATTAATCGAGGGGAATGATAATGCTGTTAATTACAAAAGTATTTAGCTTAGTGTTGCGCTAACACTTCGTGATAAATATTCATTAATACAAACAGTTTTGACCACATTGAGATTCCGGAATTCTGCGTAAATTGGGATAAATTCCAAACGCGAATAAGCAACGGCAACATTACATGAAATAGAGAGATCTTTCCATTCTAATAAAATCTCAATACCGTGTCTTGGTATTGCATACTAGCAAACACAATTATACATTTTCAGTAAATGGAGGATGGGGAGATTTTTCTGAATATGGTGCATGTTCACTTGAATGCGGCGGTGGTACCCAAGAACGTGTTCGATTATGTAACAACCCAGAGCCACAATATGGAGGCTCTCAGTGTGTAACTGCAGGGGGAGTAGAGCAACTAGAAGAATCACAGGTTGAACCATGTAACACACAGCCATGCCCAAGTAAGTCATGGAACTACCATTGCCTTTCTGGAAAATACATTTAAAGAGTTGAATACGGCCGAGGTCGATGATGGTAGTTATTTTTTCATTATTGAAGCTGCCATTTAGGAAACTCTGGCATACTCAATATATATTTCCAGTTGATGGCGGATGGGGAGAGTTTTCCAATTATAGTGCATGTTCACTTGAATGTGGCGGAGGTACCCAAGAACGTGTTCGATTATGTAACAACCCAGAGCCACAATATGGAGGCTCTCAGTGTCTAACTGTTGAGGGAGTAGAGCAACTCGAGGAATCACAGATTGAACCATGTAACACACAGCCATGTCCAAGTAAGTCATATGGAACTCTCATTACTTCTGTAAGAAAGACATGAGAAATAAAGAAATACATCCATTCGTTACACGAGTAAATTGCAGGATTCCACTATATCACCCATGTGTTTGCATTTGAAATGCAAATTAAAAAAGCGATGGGTGGACTAGATAAATATGACTGGAAACAAAATACTCAAAGTGAATTCAAACCCAGACGCTGTGTACGAAATAAAAACCAACGTTTCAAAGAAGTGCATTTTCTAAATAAGCATTTTCAAATCGCCGAGTTCTGCCACTAAAATTAGAAACAAGTATACTCGGTTTGTATATTGTGCAATAGGACAAAACAGAGACCTAAAAATATTTTAATAATGCTAGGCCTATCAATACGTCCTTTGATATATATTTTATTTAAAACTTTAAAGTGTTAAAGCAACTCACTCTCATCTCTACTACCTCCATTCATTCCTCTTTTCATGTCATTCACAAATTCATATGAACACAAAAATGAAGCTGGAAATAACGTGGGAATCACTATTTTCAATATTAAGAATAATCCTGCATGTGCAATGTCTATTTTCAGTTAATGGGGGATGGGGGGCTTTTACAAATTATAGCACATGTTCACTCGAATGTGGGGGAGGTACCAAAGAACGTGTTCGATTATGTAACAATCCAGAGCCACAATATGGAGGCTCTCAGTGTCTAACTGTTGAGGGAGTAGAGCAACTCGAGGAATCACAGATTGAACCATGTAACACACAACCCTGCGCAAGTAAGTCATGCGAAACTCTCGTTGTTTTTCAGAGAAAAAATGCCAAAAATATTAAAATCGGCAATAATCAACTAAATTGCAAGCTAGGATATCTACAGATGATGCAGTTGATGAATTAATGTAATGCAAACGTATATCTTACGTTTTTATGGACAGAAAAGGATTGATTTTACACTGAATTGACCACATTTGCAAGAAAAATACTACTACCTGCAATATCTTGAAGATCATTCTAAATATTTAGCAAATCAAAACATTTTTTGTATTTCTGCCGTATTTGATGGTATTTTCAAATATTTGATGGTCTTTTAACTTGCGTTCGCTATAATTAACTCACATAGCCAACGTCCCCGTTCATTTTTACGACATTCACAAGCTAACATGAATAAAAATTCAAAACTTAATATTTCACGGTTATTTTTTCATGTTTGCGGCTGCCATTTCGGTTAATTCTGGCAAGCACCATTTATATTTTCAGTTGATGGAGGATGGGGAGAGTTTTCCAATTATAGCGCATGTTCACTTGAATGTGGCGGAGGTACACGGGAACGTGTTCGATTATGTAACAACCCAGAGCCACAATATGGAGGCTCTCAGTGTTTAACTGTTGAGGGAGTAGAGCAACTCGAGGAATCACAGGTTGAACCATGTAACACACAACCATGCCCAAGTAAGTCAATGGAACCCACATTGCCTTTCTGAATAAGACATGTAAAAAGTTGAATACGGCCGAGGTCGATAATGGTAGTTATTTTTTCATAATTGAAGCTGCCATTTAGGAAACTCTGGCATACTCGGTGTTTATTTACAGTTGATGGCGGATGGGGAGAGTTTTCCAATTATAGTGCATGTTCACTTGAATGTGGCGGAGGTACACAAGAACGTGTTCGATTATGTAACAACCCAGAGCCACAATATGGAGGGTCTCAGTGTCGAACTGTTGAGGGAGTAGAGCAACTCGAGGAATCACAGGTTGAACCATGTAACACACAGCCATGCTCAAGTGAGTCATATGGAACTCCCATTGCCTTTCTGAAAAAAAGACATTTAAAAAGTTTAATACGGCCGTAGTCTATAATGGTAGTTATTTTTTCATAATTGAAGCTGCCATTTAGGAAACTCTGGCATACTCTGTGTTTATTTACAGTTGATGGCGGATGGAGAGAGTTTTCCAATTATAGTGCATGTTCACTTGAATGTGGCGGAGGTACACAAGAACGTGTTCGATTATGTAACAACCCAGAGCCACAATATGGAGGGTCTCAGTGTCTAACTGTTGAGGGAGTAGAGCAACTCGAGGAATCACAGGTTGAACCATGTAATACACAACCATGCCCAAGTAAGTCATGGAACTCCCATTGCCTTTCTGAAAAAAAGACATTTAAAAAGTTTAATACGGCCGTAGTCTATAATGGTAGTTATTTTTTCATAATTGAAGCTGCCATTTAGGAAACTCTGGCATACTCTGTGTTTATTTACAGTTGATGGCGGATGGGGAGAGTTTTCCAATTATAGTGCATGTTCACTTGAATGTGGCGGAGGTACACAAGAACGTGTTCGATTATGTAACAACCCAGAGCCACAATATGGAGGCTCTGAGTGTCTAACTGTTGAGGGAGTAGAGCAACTCGAGGAATCACAGGTTGAACCATGTAACACACAGCCATGCCCAAGTAAGTCAATGGAACCCACATTGCCTTTCTGAATAAGACATTTAAAAAGTTGAATACGGCCGAGGTCGATAATGGTAGTTATTTTTTCATAATTCTCCCTTTCGCGATTCGCTCTTTGAATCAGAACGTTCGCAAATATGCACTGAAAAAGCACTCAAAAAGGACAAAATTTGATTGGCTTATATTTTCTCATTATGCATTACGCGTAGCTTTTTGCGTGACACGAAAGTTCTATATCAAACTAATTACGCAATTTTGTTTTTACACCCGCACGCTAAATAAAACAATGACAACATCGGAAGTATTCTTCTTTGTCATTGCTTTAATAGTCTGTATACCGAGTTTAATCAATAAAAGATTGTACAATGAACAACAAAATTCGGAAACGAGTACTATAGATTTGCTTTCGGACCACTGAACAGAGTGACCTAGATAATAGTGACGCTTCTTCTTTGGTCTACTGCTCAGTTATTTGTTGGTTTTCAACGTAACTCTATGATGTAATTTGATGATGAATACTTTTATTCCGTTGTTGCATCGATGATGCAGTTTGTAGTGCGGTAAGATTGGCATGAAAGTATTGAAAGCCGAATGGAAATGTTTTTTCCAATATGGCGACTAGTCAACTGATGATGTGACCTTCTCTTCCGGAATATTTTCTCACTTTTCAATCATCGTTTTCACCACGCTATGAATCAATACAATGAAAAAATAGCTGTTATATTAAGATTAATAAAAGATCAATCGTTTCTAATAATTTTTTCTGTACCCTCGTACGGGAATATGAACGAATATATTGTTTGAAAAATAGGTGTTAAAATCCCCATGTTAAACCTATGAGGGAAAACAAGGAAGTATAAATTTGTTCCTCCGCGAACTGCATCATGGGAAATATTTTGACCTTATAAGGAAAGATTTTCGCGTCTCCTCTTTTGAAGAGGGAACAGCGATTTCGAGAATTGAAGCTGCCATTTAGGAAACTCTGGCATACTCTGTGTTTATTTACAGTTGATGGCGGATGGGGAGAGTTTTCCAATTATAGTGCATGTTCACTTGAATGTGGCGGAGGTACACAAGAACGTGTTCGATTATGTAACAACCCAGAGCCACAATATGGAGGGTCTCAGTGTCTAACTGTTGAGGGAGTAGAGCAACTGGAGGAATCACAGGTTGAACCATGTAATACACAGCCATGCGCAAGTAAGTCATATTGAACCGTCATTGCCTTTCTTTTGAAAGACAGTTAAAACGTAAAATAAGGCTGGAGTCAATTATTGTAATTTCTTTTTCATTATTGAAGCTGCCATTTAGAAAACTCTGGCATACTAAATGTTTATTTCCAGTTGATGGCGGATGGGGAGAGTTTTCCAATTATGGTGCATGTTCACTTGAATGTGGCGGAGGTACACGAGAGCGTGTTCGATTATGTAACAACCCAGAGCCACAATATGGAGGCTATCAGTGTCTAACTGTTGAGGGAGTACAGCAACTCGAGGAATCACAGGTTGAACCATGTAACACACAGCCATGCGCAAGTAAGTCATGGAACTACCATTGCCTTTCTGAAAAAGACATTTAAAAAGTTTAATACGGCCGTAGTCTATAATGGTAGTTATTTTTTTTCATTATTGAAGCTGCCATTTAGGAAACTCTGGCATATTCAATGTATATTTACAGTTGATGGCGGATGGGGAGAGTTTTCCAATTATAGTGCATGTTCACTTGAGTGTAGCGGAGGTACACGAGAGCGTGTTCGATTATGTAACAACCCAGAGCCACAATATGGAGGCTCTCAGTGTTTAACTGTTGAGGGAGTAGAGCAACTCGAGGAATCACAGGTTGAACCATGTAACACACAGCCATGCGCAAGTAAGTCATGGAACTACCATTGCCTTTCTGAATAAGACATTTAAAGAGTTGAATACGGCCGTAGTCGATAATGGTAGTTATTGTTTCATTATTGAAGCTGCCATTTAGGAAACTCTGGCATACTCAATATATATTTCCAGTTGATGGCGGATGGGGAGAGTTTTCCAATTATAGTGCATGTTCACTTGAATGTGGCGGAGGTACACGAGAGCGTGTTCGATTATGTAACAACCCAGAGCCACAATATGGAGGGTCTCAGTGTCTAACTGTTGAGGGAGTAGAGCAACTCGAGGAATCACAGGTTGAACCATGTAACACACAGCCATGCTCAAGTGAGTCATATGGAACTCCCATTGCCTTTCTGAAAAAAAGACATTTAAAAAGTTTAATACGGCCGTATTCTATAATGGTAGTTATTTTTTCATAATTGAAGCTGCCATTTAGGAAACTCTGGCATACTCTGTGTTTATTTACAGTTGATGGCGGATGGGGAGAGTTTTCCAATTATAGTGCATGTTCACTCGAATGTGGGGGAGGTACCAAAGAGCGTGTTCGGTTATGTAACAACCCAGAGCCACAATATGGAGGCTCTCAGTGTCTAACTGTTGAGGGAGTAGAGCAACTCGAGGAATCACAGGTTGAACCATGTAACACACAGCCATGCGCAAGTAAGTCATATTGAACCGTCATTGCCTTTCTTTTAAAAGACAGTTAAAACGTAAAATAAGGCTGAAGTCAATTATGGTAATTTCTTTTTGATTATTGAAGCTGCCATTTAGAAAACTCTGGCATACTAAATGTATATTTCCAGTTGATGGCGGATGGGGAGAGTTTTCCAATTATAGTGCATGTTCACTTGAATGTGGCGGTGGTACCCAAGAACGTGTTCGATTATGTAACAACCCAGAGCCACAATATGGAGGCTCTCCGTGTTTAACTGTTGAGGGAGTAGAGCAACTAGAGGAATCACAGGTTGAACCATGTAACACACAGCCATGCTCAAGTGAGTCATATGGAACTCCATTGCCTTTCTGAAAAAAATACATTTAAAAAGTTTAATACGGCCGTAGTCTATAATGGTAGTTATTATTTTTCATTATTGAAGCTGCCATTTAGGAAACTCTGGCATATTCAATGTATATTTACAGTTGATGGCGGATGGGGAGAGTTTTCCAATTATAGTGCATGTTCACTTGAGTGTAGCGGAGGTACACGAGAACGTGTTAGATTATGTAACAACCCAGAGCCACAATATGGAGGCTCTCAGTGTCTAACTGTTGAGGGAGTAGAGCAACTCGAGGAATCACAGGTTGAACCATGTAACACACAGCCATGCCCAAGTAAGTCATGTGGTAAACCTATTGTCTTTCTCTAGAAAAACACAAACAAACATAAATAATGCTATACACATATGAAGTGCAGTATGCAAATACATCTACAGATGAAGCAATTAATAGATATCATTCACAAATAGCATTTGATGCCAATCTCAAATTTTGATAAAGTAAAGGTGACTGGTGACATTACTGATTTAAATGGGACTGGATATAATTCTAAGGAAGAAGAATCTCATTTATGTAAAAAAAAAACGTTTGAACAGTATTTTAAACAAGATTTATGCTTAGTGGGTCCAGAATGCTTGGACCTTGATACAGTTTTTCAAATATTTGAGGGTTAATTTTAAATTTTCATTACACGTTTAATCACATAGCCACAATTCCCATTTAATCATCATTCACAAATTCCCACGTTTAAATAAAATAAAATGTCGGAGCTATATATTTCATGACTGTATTTTAATTGCTTCATTTAGGGCTCCCATTGAAGAAACCTCTTCCATGCGCAATGATTATTATCAGCGATACGGCCGTAGCCGATAATGGTAGTTATTTTTCATTATTGAAGCTGTAGTTTAGGACACTCTGGCATACACAATCAATGTATATTTACAGTTGATGGCGGATGGGGAGAGTTTTCCAATTATAGCCCATGTTCGCTTGAATGTGGCGGAGGTACCCAAGAACGTGTTCGATTATGTAACAACCCAGAGCCACAATATGGAGGCTCTCAGTGTCTAACTGCAGGGGGAGTAGAGCAACTAGAAGAATCACAGGTTGAACCATGTAACACACAGCCATGCCCAAGTAAGTCAATGGAACCCACATTGCCTTTCTGAAAAAAAAAATTTAAAACATAAAATATGATGAAAAAATCTCAAAAGTGAATTTAAACCTGAAAGTAAAAATAACCCTTTGCACATCTTACAAGGTCCACGCGTACTGGGGTCCTGAATGATTAGCCGATGAATGCATTTTTCAAATATTTGTGGATTTAATATTTACTGGCTTTCACTATCTTATACTCACATATCCACCATTCCCATTAAATTTTCAATTACGACATTCACACCTCACATAAACTCAAAATCTCCATTTCATATGGTTATTATTTTTTCATTATTAATGCTATCATTTAGAAAACAATTGGCATGTACACTTTATATTTTTAGTTGATGGCGGATGGGGAGACTTTTCCAATTATAGTGCATGTTCACTTGAATGTGGCGGAGGTACCCAAGAACGTGTTCGATTATGTAACAGCCCAGAGCCACAATATGGGGGCTCTCATTGTGTAACTGCAGGGGGAGAGGAACAAGTTGCGGAATCACAGATTGAACCATGTAACACACAGCCATGTCCTAGTAAGTCATATGGAACTCCCATTGCCTTTCTGAAAAAAGAGATTCAAAAAGTTTAATACCCTTTAAGTTTAAGTTTGAACCCTGTATCACACAACCATGCACAAGCACGTCATATGGAACCGCCATTGCCTTTCTGTAGAAAGACACAAACAACTATGCCATATGACCATAAATGAAAGTGCAGCATGAAAGGATCTCAACAATTCCAACTGATAGATTTATTCATGAATGCCTTTTGATGCAAATCTCAATTTTTTCATTAGAGAGATTGGTAACTTGGAGTATTAAAATTGGCCTAGCCTAGATAGCATTATCAGGATGAACATATCTCAAAGTGAATTTAGATCTCTGCATAATATCTGAATGCTAATCCTCTGAATATTTTTTTTCAAAAATTTGAGGGATAAATCTTTACTGGCTTTCAACATACTATACTTACATGGCCACCATCGCTATTTATTTTTCATCAATGACATTCACACTCTCAAATAAGCACAAGGTCAAAGCTACATATTACATGGCATTTGTTTATTCATTTTAGGCTGTCATTTAAGAAATCTCTGTCATTGACAATGTATATTTTCAGTTGATGGAGGATGGGGAGAGTTTTCCGAATATGGCGCATGCTCACTTGAATGTGGCGGAGGAACCCAAGAACGCGTTCGATTATGTAACAACCCAGAGCCACAATATGGAGGCTCTCAGTGTCTAACTGTTAAGGGAGTAGAGCAACTAGAGGAATCACAGGTTGAACCATGTAACACTGATCCATGTGCAAGTAAGTCATATGGAAGTGTCATTGCCTTCCTTTGAAATGACATTGCTAAATGTAAAAATAGGGCATGGTCAAGCATATGCCAAGATGATGTGCAATTGATGAATAGCATTCATGAACAGAATTTGGAATGCAATTCGCAAATTTATGAAGAGGAATGATTGGGCTACTTGTGATATATAAATAGGACTAGATAACATACTCAATTGAAACTGAAGACTAACTATTATTTATTTATCATCGAGGTGGCATTTTAACAAAAATCTGGCATGTACACTGTATATTTTCAGTTGATGGAGGATGGGGAGATTTTTCCAATTATAGTGCATGTTCACTTGAATGCGGCGGAGGTATCAAAGAACGTGTTCGATTGTGTAACAACCCAGAGCCACAATATGGAGGCTCTCAGTGTGTAACTGCAGAGGGAGAACAGCTACTCGAGGAATTCCAATTTGAATCATGTAACACACAACCATGCCAAAGTAAGTCATGTGGAACTCGTATTGTCTACTCAAGGACACTACCACCATCACGTTTATTGCAAGACGCAACTTATATCTACATGAAATCGACATATTGCATTCAATTCAAATCTCAAATACTGTTGTATAGAAATTGATGAGTAATCTAAACCTAAAAGTTCTATAAAAACTAAGTTACCTAAGTTTCAAAGGGGCAGATTATTTGGATACATCCTTAGATATGTTTAGTTCACAACTCTAGAATTAGCAACAAGAAGCATTCAGATGAAAGGACAAGAATGTATTGATATATTTCAATTAGCACAAAATACAATTGTGTTGCAAATCATGCTTTTACCACAACATTAAGTCCATTTATACATTTTTCTTATTTTTGTATCATGAAGAGATCAATATTTACAACTTTATCAATATTCGTATTTTAAATACCTCCATTAATTATACCATTTAGTAATTTACAATCTCTGGAAAGCACGTTATCACCTGTTAAAGAATGAAGTATAAGTACACGGTAATAACCTTTTCATCATCTAGGTTACCATTTAAGAAAACTGTGGCATGTAAAATGTTTATTTTCAGTTGACGGAGGATGGGGAGAATTTTCGGAATATGGCGCATGTTCCCTTGAGTGTGGCGGAGGTACCCAAGAACGTGTTCGATTATGTAACAACCCAGCGCCACAATATGGAGGCTCTCAGTGTCTAACTGTTGAAGGAGTAGAGCAACTGGAGGAATCACAGGTTGAACCATGTAACACACAGCCATGTCCAAGTAAGAATTTTCATTGCCATTCTTTAGTGGAAAAATATTTTACAACATCTATTGCCTATCTTTGGAAAGACAGTTAAAACGTAAAATAAGGACGAAGTCAATTATGGATTTAGGAAACTCTGGCATACTCAGTGTATATTTATAGTTGATGGCGGATGGGGAGAGTTTTCCAATTATAGCGCATGTTCACTTGAATGCGGCGGAGGAACCCAAGAACGTGTTCGATTATGTAACAACCCAGAGCCACAATATGGAGGCTCTCAGTGTCTAACTGTTGAGGGAGTAGAGCAACTCGAGGAATCACAGATTGAACCATGTAACACACAGCCATGCGCAAGTAAGAATTTTCATTGCCACAGTGTACTACAATCAGAATCTCATGTGATTTGCAATTCAAGTGCAAGCGCAGAATAGAAAGCATTTTGCGTGTCTTTACATTTTAAAGGATGGATTGTCTTTGATATTAAATATTTTCGATCGATTTTTACTGTAATTTGAAATCACAAATTGTAACGTTACTTCAGGTTTTTCTGAGGAGTTTTTTTCTTAAGCGGAAAAATATTTGACAAGAGAATTGGTCTTATTCAGATAGGTATCTCTTTTTATTTTTTAACTCTTTTTTTTGTAATGGTGGTTGGCGTTCGGCGTGCAAGACGTTTGTAACAAATGGCAGCTAGTGGCATTTTGTTTGTTAATGCCTTGTGTAGATATTTGATATTCACGTTATTTGATTGTATTGTAAATTTAGTCGACTCTGATGATATCAACTATATATTCGATGGATGGGGTTAATTTGTCAAATGGTAAAATTTTTATACCACAGTAGCTTCATTCAAATATAGATATATTCGACAAGTAAAGTTTAGCGATAACATTTTAGTTGACGGAGGATGGGGTGATTGGTCAAATTTTAGCACATGTTCTTTGGAATGTGGAGGAGGTACCAAAGAACGTGTTCGATTATGCAATAGTCCAGAGCCACAATATGGAGGCATTCAGTGTCTAACTGCAGAGGGAGAACAAAAACTTGTAGAATCTGAGATCGAACCATGTAACACGCAACCATGTCAAAGTAAGTTTGTAATAGACTAATGTTGCATAGTGAATCCCCGCTCACCCATGGTCAATATTAGATCAGATATCCTCAAAATCTTTAATCACAGTAAACTCATTCAAATACAGATTCATTCAAGAGGTAAAAATTAGAGATAACATTTTAGTTGATGGAGGATGGGGTGATTGGTCAAATTATAGCACATGCTCTTTGGAATGTGGAGGAGGTACCAAAGAACGCATTCGATTATGCAATAGCCCAGAGCCACAATATGGAGGCTCTCAGTGTATAACTGTTGAGGGAGTAGAGCAACTCGAGGAATCACAGGTTGAAACATGTAACACACAACCCTGCCCTAGTAAGTTTATAACAGTATACTGTGTTTCATTTCGACCGTCATTCTAGTCACAGTCGATTCTGAGCTAGCCATGTAACAATCAGATCCAAGCTAGGGACTTTGATTTAAGAATTGCTGTTTACAATAATGTACGAGGGAAGATCCAAAAGTTTCCGGCCTAACATAGTTCTAGTTGATGGATTTTCAAAATGATAGTGTCATTTTTCAATGTAGTCTCCCTGTACTTCGATGCACTTGGCCCATCTTCTTGGCAGCATCTCAAGTCCAGTTTTGAAGAAATCAGGTGCATTGTCCTGTTGATGCAAAACTCCAAGACGGACTTTGTGTGGTCTGGTTTCATCAAGTTTAGCTTTTAAAGTACGCAACAAAGCAGCATAATATTCTCCATTCATTGTAGTACCTCTTGGAAGGTAGTCTACTAAGATAGGACCTTCACAGTCCCAGAAAATGGTGGCCATCATCTTTTTGTTGGATGGGGTGGTGCGAAACTTCTTTGGGGGTGGGGACCCCATATGTTTCCATTGCATTGACTCATGTTTGGTTAAAGGCTCAAAATGACGCACCCATGTTTCATCACAAGTGACTATTCTCTCCATAAAACCTTGTGGATCAGTGTTATACATGTCCAAAAGCTCTCTTGCAACAGCAACTCGTTTTGTTTTCATGTCCTCTGTGAGCATACGGGGCACCCATCTTGAGCTTAACTTTTGCATGTGTAAATCTTCATGAATTATTCTACAAACGGTACCATATGATAATCCAGTTTCTTCTACAAGTTCACGTATAGATTTCCGCCTATCTTCCAATATTGTTCGATGTACAAGATCAGCATTTCTATCTGAAGTGACATCTTTAGGTCTTCCAGAACGTGGTGCATCATCAATTGATTCCCGTCCACGTTTAAATTCAGCCACCCAAAATTTTACAGTGGAATAGGAGGGAGCACCTTCCCCATACACATCCTTAAGTCTATCGTAGATTTCCTGCCCTCCATTTTCTTCTTGATATAGAAACTTTATCACAGCTCTATATTCAGTTTTCTCCATTGTGCAGCCACTGTGACCTGACCTCATTATGAATATTCTCAAAATGAGGCTGTGACCCCTAGAGGTTAATCATATGCATAAATTATGTTCATACATAAGCAACATTTGAACTGTGAAGAATGGTTGCTCTCAGACATCGGGAACTATGTTAGGCCGGAAAGTTTTGGATCTTCCCTCGTATGTTTCATCATTTGAGTGTATTTATCTGTAATTCTTATAAATCAGATTCTTTACATTAGTTGACGGGGGTTGGGGAAATTGGACAGTCTTTGAGGATTGCAGTCAAACATGTAACGGTGGTATCCAGTCACGCAGTAGAGCATGTAACAACCCCTCCCCAGAGTTTGGCGGCAAAATGTGTGTAGACTCAGAAGGTGTACCTACACTGGATGAATCTGAGACGCGTATTTGTAACACACAGCTATGTCCAAGTAATGCGTATTATTTATATTTAACTATTTGTTTTAGTTAGGTTAATCTGCAAGCATTATACAAACGTTAATCTTATTTTGAACTCGTAACACTACAATAAAAAAGTGATTTAGATTCATGATACATGGAAATACAAAACTAAGAGTAGAAAATATTTCATGTGTGTTTTTGAAATCTCAAAGATGATAATAATGGAGATAACATAGAGTCGATCGATCTTTACAATATTTCCAAATCAAATATTATTACGTTAGTCAACTACTTTACTATTTATCCTGTAGTAAATGGTGGCTGGGGTGACTGGTCAGTAGGAAGTTGTACCGTAAGTTGTGGCGGCGGAACATCAACATCTGTGAGATATTGTGACAAACCAAAACCAGCTTTTGGTGGAGAAGACTGTTTGTCCCTTGATGGTACTCGTTTGAGTGAAGAAACTAATACTATACCTTGTAATGAGTTTCGATGTCCCCGTGAGTAGCTAACGACACTGAATGAATTTGAATATAATCAAGGTTGTGTCTTGGGATAACCATGTTACATGTACCGTGTTTTATGTAATTGTATATTACTTACTTGAATATTAACACACAAGATAATAAGTCGTATTGTAAAAGCTAACTTTTTATACTTAGAATTGAATCGAGGCCTTTCTCTAAGAAAGGACGTCAATTACGACAAACGGGCCGCTTTATAACATCTAAAATGCTTGATATGTATCCAATTTTAAACCACTCCAAACGTTTGAAATATATTTTTACATAAACACCAAACGATCGTTTGAAACATCACATACAATAATATTTGCAAAGACCTACACCTCCGAGTGAATTCATTTATAATACAAATTACTGTTCGATATAATATCAATTAATTATATTTCAGAACTTAATATTGTTATTGTTTCTCAATATAATAAGTGTTTTTATAGCTCTGTCTACTAAATCAGGTGCTTTCTTAAAACGGTGATTCTTACTTGAATTTTCCACTGGATTTCTTTGTCTGATCTATTTTCTAAAGGTAGTAGCATTTACTATAAAGTTTGAAAAGCATAAGTTTTCTTTATTTTTTTCTTGGCTGGTTACTTGTAATCATGGTATGGTTACACGTGGCTATCCAAAAGTGCTCTCAGGAATGAGAGGGATATATGAACAAATCACAAAATGAAAGCATTTTTTCAAAATATATGGATCGCCCTTGTATATGCCTCTTGCAAGGATAGGTCCCTTTTTAAGCTTATCAATGTCGCATATTCATTTAAAGACACAATGAATAACAAACCAAATCGTGTTTGAGGATCTATGCATTATTCAAGAGATGTTGTTCCTGATTGAATTGTGTAATCTACAAACCCGTCGTCTGACCATATGGACACGACAGGTTCTGGAATATATAGGTGCTGGTATGAGACATGTTTGAATCTGATACTCTGGGCTTTTATTTCATGATCTTGATGTCTGACGCCTGGGTTGTGTGGAAAGAAATGATATTTTAGCTCACATCGTGAGCTATTCATTAATATTCTAAAACAATTTTCATGTGAATAATAAATTAATTGAATGTTTGAATTCTCTTTCATAAAGAACGCTATATATACCACGATCAACTAACTATGTAGGAATAATTCCAATTATAGAATTAGCAACTACAGAAAAACCCGTGGATACAACTGGCCCAAATGACGTCACGGAAATACCTTTACCGCCAGGCTATCAAGATGATCCTGATGGTAAGATCTGGTTCATAATATAAACTATACTTATATTTACAGCAAATAATGATAATACGGCATGCCATAAATTGAAACAGAAATTGAATCAATAGAAAATGGAGAATTTCTAGTCGGAAACAGTCGGAACTAAAACATGCATGCATCATCTTCTTCAGAAACAATTCATCTTTGTATCGGAATCAAAATTAACGGCCTAGTATGGCAATAGACACGAGTATAATAATTCCCGTTGAGACCAACGTGAAATTTGGAATTTCGCGCTCCGAACACGAAACTCTGAAGCTAAACGTATCTGAAGTATACTAATAAGTGCTTGTTTGGTATGCGTGCTATACAGGGTGTTCCAAAAGTAACAGGACTGGTGCTGGCATTTCGTTAAATATGCACCAATCGTCTTCTAAATTTTACATAGTGTACTTTCATGTATCGTTACTAAAATTGCAAAGTTTCGACAAAAAATATGAAACTTGGGTAGAGTTATGGTTGCTATGGTAACATGACATCACAATACCCGGGGCAACATTCCATGCAGAAAGTTACATTAAGACAGAAAGAGACATTAAGCATCTTGTACATCCCATAGCAAAGTTAAAATGCAACAAGTGGTGGGAATAACATTTGTTTTACATAATTTGACTTTCCTATTTATCCTCTACTAAAATAGGCTCCTCTTTGGTCAGTAAAAGAATAGCACTCTGTATCCATGACTCAAACACATGAGTGAGCCCACTTGAGGACATGTCACGCATGGTCAATTGAACAACTTGGAGAAGGTCATTCTCATCTTTAAAGATCTTACAGCACTGATTAGCATTCCATTCTCCATGTTAGTAAAAATGGGATGTTGCATGATCAGAAGAGTATGGCGCATGGTTTTAGAACTCAAGACTTAGCTCCTCTATAGCAGCATGGTCTTTAATGGTGACCTGCGGGCAGTCGCGTTATCAAGGTGGATGACTGGCTTCAAATTGGGTCTTTTCAAAAACTCAACAATTAATTGATCAGAATGTAATTCATAGTGATATTCCAGGAAATTGAATAAATATTATTATCATTATGAAATTATACTTGAATCTGAGTTGTAAAGCAACACCTTTACAACAAAGCAACTGATAAAATAAACAAGAAATGTTGTATTACAATAGGTGAATTAGATACTTTCTTCAGTAATACAAAAATGTTAGATATCACATTTTCAGGAAAAAGTTGCCCCGGGTATTGTGATGTCATGTTACTACAGTAACCACAACTCTACCCGCATTTCATCATTTTTCTGAAACTATACAGTTTTAGTTGCAATACTTCAAAGTACAATTTGTAAAAATTTGAATACACTCGGTGCAAAATTGACAAAATGCCAGCACCAGTCCTGTTACTTTTGGAACACCCTGTACATTGCTACATCGTACTTTCATTCACAATTGCGTTCTGAAAAAGATTGCTAGCATAAACTTTCCATTCTCTGTGAAAGAAAACGTCTATGTGCTCATCAATATTACTTGAAGTATATAATTAACAATGGTTAATTAATGAATGTCATATATTTTTTTTCAGCCCAGATATTACCACCATTACCGGGTGAGTATCTCCTAATAACATTATATTTTTTCATTTGTTTTATCACTAACTATACGTGTTTTTATACTGAGTACTCCTCGACACATTAATGAATATTGACATCACAAATGTCCTGATATGTGGATACAACACACAATAATGTATAATGCTCTTCAATAGACTGATTTAAGTTGTTAAATGCGACATTTTTGGATTCTGTCATCTTTTATTTTGTCATATCATATTTGTAAATAGTTTCTACAATTTAATTTCTAATAATATTTCCATATATATTTAAAGGGGATGAGTTGGGAGACGATCCTGGATGTAAGTAGGCAACACGTTTTAATTTTTCATGATTATCTCACGGTTTCTTTAACTCTGTAATATAAAGTTTGAAACCATTGGCAAGGCATATTGAATTATGTTTAGATATAGCAGGCTACACTAATATTGTTAATTGTAATGCTAAACTTATTTTCATTCAACCAGTTTTTATACAGTGTACACACACTTTTAATCATTTATACACTAATACTGTAATATGATATAATTTGATATGATACGATAACTACACAATATACAAATTCTTATATGATATATGATTACACAATGACTAGTACAGTACATATGCCTTACATGAATACATCCTTACATGAACTACTCATACTTCGTAATATTCTATACTTTAGCTGTCGTGGATATTCCGCCTCGGGGTAAGTACATATTTTATCATAATACAATTTGACATGACACCGTTTTATGGAACAAGAAACATTTGAAATATGCATCACTCGTATATCAATTTTTGGGGTTTTGATTCTAATCCTCAACTTCCAATTATTGTTAATTTTGATTATCATTAATTACATATTATTACTCGATATATGGTTTTAATATAGTGTAAACCGAATGCACCATTGAAATGATTGAAACATGTAATCCCTTCTTCTAGAACGCCAGGCTTCAGAACCTTTGTCGGATTCAGGTAAATATGCATTGTATTATCGTATTTCTCACTGTCTCATAATTACTTGATTAAAAATGATTGAATAATACCCTGTCACACGCACTCTATGTCGTTTGCCTTTTCTACTATATCAAGTCTTATATACCATGGTAGATAACGTATATTTACTTCTAGTACAGCTATCAAATGTTGGTTAAATGAAGTACACATATTTGTAAAGTTTCCTAGATTAGTGAGATTTATAATAATGAATGATAAATCTCATTAAAATTCTTTTTTCTGTACGCCATTCTCTCAGTGTATTTCGTGCAGCCCTAAATGTTTGATTTTCTTATGGTATGTTTTTTTAGTTTATAAAATGTATATTTCCGTAGTTGTGTTACAGCCATTGACCATAGTGACTGGGAACGCATCATATTTGTAATATAACCTCATCCACATCTGATGGACTGCTATCCTTCCCTGTGAATGTTGTATTAGAGAAAATCCTGGTAATCCTATGTATAAAGTTATGTTCAATGAATTAATCTAATTTAATTCATTGTTTATTGTTAACTTTTATTATTCATTTAACCCAAGTATAGCTAATATTCAACCAACCGCATTACCATTCCCAAAAATGTTTTTAAGCCTAGTAAATCCAATGCTAGTATACTATTTCCCGGTGATATTCTCAAGAAACCTGTTCGAATCTATAATCCTTTTCAAATTCTATGTATTCTAAATTGGTGTCGCCTGTCTTATCCAAATGTGTTTACCTTATATTGTAAAGCATAAGCCAATTATAAGTGATTTGTACATTTATTTCATTTCATGATACTACACTTTTATAGTTGCGCCAGTGGATTTACCTCGGCGTCGTAAGTACAAATAATTTAACACGTGTTCTTATATTAATTCATAATGTTAAATATTCGCATTAGTTAATGTCATAAATGTAAACATATCTGATCAGATATTCCAAATCCTCCATCAGATAGTACACAAGATGATACGGGACACACGGGTGTTGCGTTTAACACATTACACTCTCCTTTCTGCCCCTACTTATAATAATAGTAATACATATCATGTTTTAACTTTTAGGTAGGCCAGTAGCTGAACCCCTGTCTGACAAAGGTACATAAATGTAGCTTTAAAATCTCATTTGCCTTAAATAATTTAATGCTTAAAAATGATATGATATGGCAATAAACCTGCTTGAAAAATGTTTTGTATTATTGAGTAATTATAGGTATGTATGTCTGTCTACTATTCAAAATATGTCTGGTAAAGAACCTTATCATTTATGACATAACTATATTAAGCAAGCAGCTAGCATCAAGGATTATAATGTAAGCAACCGATCGAATGTAACTTGATACATTCAATTAGGATATAACCATAATTTTATCAGCGAACATATAACATATTCGCTAAATTCATTGATTGAGCAGAGGACCCATGGTCCTGTCAGTATATGGTGATTGTATTCTTATTGTATTGTGGGTAATCTTGTTATATCCGGTGCATTTTTGGAGGGTGGCATTTTCAAATCTTTCAACTGATAAACACTTATCTTAATCTGTGAGGTAGTTCTAGGCTCGGTGAATGTTTCCCTTCGAATCTCTTACATAGAATATGTAACATCTGATTTGATTGCCACTAATTACAAATACTAGTAAGTATAATTTTATATTCTAAAATTACAAACAATTACAGGCGCGCGTTTGGATGGTGGTCTTGGGGATGATGATGCGCTCAATGAACCTGTGCAGGCCAGTGAAGGAGACACTAATCTTTTGCAAAAAGATGTTGGTAAGTGGTTTGAAAATGTTACATTTTACATTTAATTCACTATCTTAGTACAGAATGATCTGGCAAACATCTCAAACATTTTTTTAATTTGCATGTTATCGATACAACTGGGTCGAATATTATACTTTTAGATAGAATCTATGCTCGGTAATACAATTGAAGGTAGATCACATATTGGTTTAATTATGTTCTATTTTGCGCATTTTAGTTTATGGTGATCCACATATAGCCGAGACAGTGATCGGTGGAACAGAAACTATTTGCTACGATGTCAAAGGGAAAGCGCATACAAAATACAGACTTCTGACAGAGACAGCATCTTGTAAGTTTTTTGGTTATAAAAATATTTGAAAGCAGTTACATTTACATATATACGAGTGTTGTCCTAGAAGTAATGCACTATATGCTATAACTTAATCAATAATTGATATGTTTCCATGAACGTTTCAGTAAATGTTTCTTAGAGACATTTAGATTATTCTAAAAATGTTCATGTTGACTGACAAAACTATATTGATGTTATTATAAAATTAAGTTGGTGAGTTGGTGAGTAGGGCGGGGCAGGTTATACAGTCACGTCAAAAGGAATAAAAAATTGAAAATATGGTATGAAATAATTAATCAACAAATGTCATTTGGTGTAGCTATAAGAAGTATGCTCAAAAATACATTTTAAGATACTAAATTACTATGAGCACATCCTAGATTTAATGGATGTATATTGCACAGTGTCCCATTTCACATTTTCTCAAAATATTGGCCTTTGCATGTTATTTACTTTTGATGACTGTCAGGTCAAACACTCTCGGCAATTTCTTCCACTTTGACTTGTGGAGTTTTTGCCTCCCATGTTTGGAGTTGTCATACAGGGTCTCTTTTATTTTCGTCTCTTTTAAATCTCTTCTGCCACCCCATAACTGTAGTTCTATCTGGTACTCCTTATATACTTTCTTCATGGTAGCATTGTTTTGCGTGGCTGTGAGTCCAAGTGAAGTATGAAATGAGGCCACCGCAAACGCAAGGCCTTCTGTTATCAGGTAAGAATTGCAGCCATTTTTGCAATTTCTTGACTGTGACTGTATTTGAATTCGTGACTAATGAAATGTGGTATTATCACATCACAGTGCTAAATATCATTATTCGTACTTGGTTAACATCATGCTGAATAAATTTAACAATTTCCCAAACATTTTGACCATTTAAAGGAAAGACATTTTAATGTAGTGGTGGCTTTAAGTGGCTAGTATGATATGCGATATGCGTCACATAAGATCATCTTAGATTTAAAATGGTTTATTGTAATCAGCCAGACATAGACACACAGACAGACATAGACAGACAGCCTGTAAAAGTACAAATTACAACATTTTGGGTATGGATAAAATTACCAATGCAGAAATAGAATACGTAACATATCATCCCTGAATCAACACACAATTACATAAAAGTGGTTATAAATAGCTTAGATATTTGGCATTGAACATTGTGCATATGCGCATTTCAAACAACAATGTGCATTTCAATGACCATCTACATTATGCAGAATAAGCTAGAAATATATACCATTATTACATAAATGACCAAATGTATCCTGTGAATACAACTATCTCTAATATAGAAGCAATTACGCTATCTTATATGAGAAAATGAGAAATGCAATATAAATGCAATATTCAAAGTGAAATGCATATTCTCTAAAATATATATGCTTACCCTATGGGCTAACTGTATACAGCTGTGGTTGATTGGATGGTTGATTGATATGTATCTGCTATAACATTGTTGCCTTGAATAAAGTAATACCCAAAATGTAAATGTCTGTTTACAAAATATAGATTTTGTTCACAAAGTTGACAAGTTTCTAAGATTACAATTTCAAGTTCATATTTCTATCGAAACATCTAATAATTTATATGTACATGAACCTTGTAATATCTACTTTATGAATATGAATGTAATTAATCTCTAGGGTTATTATATCAATTAGAAATATTACAAAATATGGGATAATTTCTCACCAAGTCTTCCTCCATTATGTGTTTATCCAATCAACAAATCTGATTGGTTGAAAAGTAAAAAGGTGGGAAAAAAGTACGCCAAATTATTAGGGAGCATACAATATTGCATAATAAATGAGAGCAATTGATGCTTAAAAATGAACAGTTAAATACCCTATTTACATTCACGCGGACATGTCTATCAATGCACCGCAGATACCTTAACTCGGTCACAATTACAAAAATTATAAAATATAAACTAACATCAAATTATTGTATCTATTACATATGTAAAGTTGTAATCATAATATATTGAGGATATTCCTCCCCTATAATGCATAATATCCAATATGATAAAGCTAGATGTTTAAGCTAAACAACCACGATCCTAACTATTATGAGTATGTTTACTTACATAAGTTAAGATATTACAAACATGTAAAACAGCACATGTAAAACAGCACACTTAAATTTAAAATTTTAACATTTAACTATAAATATTTTTGTATTTTTATTCATTTTTATATGATTAAACATCTGTTGGATATGCTATTCCATTTTTCACATAGTTAAAATTCGCGTGAGGCTATTCGAATTTCTTTAATAGAAATCAGAATCATCAGAATCTTCTTCGTTGTCTTTAACACTTGATTCCGACTTTGCACTCTTTCTTTTTCTTAAATTGTATCTCCTGTTGTCATGTTCATCTGATTTTGACTCAGTTCTCACAATTTCTTTCTTTTGACTATCTCTAGTAGTGAGTGGTTTTTGTTTTATGTTTTGTCTGTTTACATTTTTCTTTTTACCACTTTCATCTTGAATTTCATATACATCTCCTTTCCTATTCACAACTATGTATTCTTTTTGATCATAAGTATCTTGGATTTTGTTTCTTCCTTGATGAAATTTCTTTAGTAGTACTACAGATCCTATCTCAATGTCTTCGTTTTTGTGTGTTACTTTCTTTTCCTGATATTCCTTCCTTTTTGATGAATTTTGTTCCAGTTGAATATTTGCCATTTTATAAGCATATTTCAATCTTTCACTATGTTCTGTGACCCAGTTTTCTTGTTGAGTGTCTACATCTAATGATCCTAGCTGTATATCAATTGGTGTTCTTGCCTCTCTGCCGAACATCAAGTAAAATGGAGAGTAACCTGTTGAACTGTGAGGAGTATTGTTGTATGCAAAGACAACATCTCGTATATGCTTCGTCCATTTTTTCTTTTTCTCTTCGGAAAGTGTTCTCAGTAGCGAGTGGAGCGATCTATTGAAGCGTTCACATTGCCCATTTCCCGAAGGATGGTATGGAGTTGTTCTAGATTTTTTGATTCCATAGAGCTGGCATAAGCTTGCAATAATTTCACTTTCAAAATTTCGTCCCTGGTCTGAGTGGATTCTCATTGGTATTCCAAAATTATAGAACCAATTGTTGACTAGGACTTTTGCGACTGTATCCGCTTTTTGATTCTTTGTAGGAATTGCAAGAGTGTATTTTGTGAAAGCGTCAGTTATTATAAGAACATTTTCGATTCCATCGGAAGATTTCTCCAAAAGTGTAAAGTCTAGAAATAATAACTCAAGTGGGCGTTTGGCTGTTAAACTTCCCAATGGCGTAATTACATTTCTGACTGGTTTCTTGGAATACAAACATCTTGAGCAATCTCGTACATAGTTTCGTATATCTGTATACATTCCTGGCCAGAAGAAAGACTTTGTTACAAGTTTTTCAGTTCTGTCAGATCCTTGATGTCCGCTCATATCATGGTTAGCTTTCAATACATCTTCACGAATACATTGTGGGACTATGATTTGATAAGTTTCATTTCCATTGTTGTCCTTGATTTTTCTTACTAGAACATTTTTGATAATATTTAGACGGTTCCAATTCCGAAGTAGAGCTTTGGATGTTTTAGACAGTTTTTTCTGTTCAATCTTGTTTGGGTGCTGTCCTTCTTTGACACATTTCTTAATGACACGAATATCTTTGTCTTTGTCCTGGATTTTTTCATAACCATCTTTCATTGTTGGAAATATAGTGCTTGCTGTTCTGTCATCCTTTTGAACTCTGCTATCAGTTTGACGTGTGTATTCTTGTTTTAATGCTAAACTGTGAATCTCAGGAGGAATAATTGTAGTTTCACAATGAGCTGCTATTACTTCCATTGTATTCTGTTCTTGTGGTTCCTTTGGAAACTTTTCCTCTTCTTCAACATGTACTGTCATAGCTGCTTCTTCTTGTTCAGATTCTTCAGAGTCGTCATCTCTCTCAGTTGCTCCTGATCTTGGAAGTCTTGATAATATATCAGCCATTGTGTTTTCTTTTCCAGCTTTGTAGATGATATCAAATCTAAATGATGCCAAATCAGCTATCCATCTTTGTTCCAATGCAGGAAGCTTTTTCTTCTTGAAGATGTATGTCAAGGGATTATTATCAGTATATACTGTGAAGTATGATCCCAGAAGATAATCTCTGAATTGGTTGGTGATTGCCCACTTCAAGGCTAACAGTTCTAATTTCTTACTGGAATAGTTCTTCATGTTTCTTTCAGAACCTCTTAGTCCTCGACTGCCATAAGCTATAACTCGCTTAACACCATCTTGTTCTTGTAAAAGAGTACATCCTAGGCCTTTGTTGCTTGCATCGGTTTCTACTATAAATGGGAGGTTATAGTTTGCAAAAGCTAGAATAGGAGCAGATTTTAATCTTCTCTTTATATCCATGAAGGCTTCTTGACAAATGTCATTCCAGTGTTCTTTTATTGATACTTTCTTTGATCTTCTTTTCTTTACAGTTCCAACTTTGGAGAGAATATCATATAAGGGAGTTGCGATCTTGGCAAACTGCTTGATGAATCTTCTATGGTAGCTGCTGAATCCCATGTATGCTCGTAATTCTTTCACATTCTCTGGAACTGGCCATTCCTCGATCACTTTTATATTCTTAGGATCTGGCTGGACACCATCTTTTGACACTTTCATGCCAAGATATTTGACTTCTTCTTTAAAAAATGAGCACTTTGAAAGTTCTAATTTCAGGCCAAACTTCTGTAGGATGCCGAATACATTTTCAAGTCTCTCAATGTGATTTTCAATTGATTCTGAGTATACAATCAAGTCGTCGAGATAGACTAGTATGGATTTAAAAATCTCATCTCTGAACGCCATTTGCATAAGTCGTTGGTAAGTTGCAGGTGCGTTTGTTAGACCAAAGGGCATTCTAAGATATTCGTACAGACCAAAGGGTGTTGTGAAGGCTGTTTTATATATGTCTTCTTCAGCTACTTGAACTTGATAATAAGCTTGTTGGAGATCCATTACAGAG